CCGAGAGAGGGCCGCTGCAGATGGGCTGTGGTTAGACCTGGCTGCCGTCAGCTTCGGAGCTCCGCTGGTGCCGCTGTCCTCTCAAGTTCGTCACATTTTCTTTTAAATTACGCATTAAATCTGTGAATGGGCCATATGGTGATGCTTAAAAGTATAAGGTTCTCGCCTCAAATGATCTTAAAACGTACTTTTATTGAACAACAGCAACGGAAAAGAGAACATTTAACTTAGTACTCTGAGCTCTGTGAGTTAAGAAGATGGACAGCCAAGCCAACCAATGAGCAGAAGTTGACTCTCTAGGACACACCCCCTCCTCATTTGCATAATGAGATAGAAATGCATACAGAAATGTAAAAAGGGCATAGAGAAATGTAAAAAGGGCAGAGAGAAATAAACAGCGGCGAAGAAATAACTAAGGTAAAAAAATACAAAGGAAGAATAAAACAGACAAAAATATAATAACATGCACATAAATAAATACTTAAAAATATAAGTAATTAAAAAATAAAGTTGAAGATTATAAAGGACAGAAAAATAAATAAGGTAAATATTACAAAGGCAAATAAATAAAGAAGCTAATTAACAGTTATATACATTTATGTCTCACTTTTTTGTTGGCAATTAATTGTATGCTTATACATTTATTGAGCATTTATTTATTTCTGTATTTATTTTTAAATATGGCAGAGTTGGTCCTTCATACTATGAAGGATTTATTTCTGTATTTATTTTTAAATATGGCAGAGTTGGTCCTTCATACCTGTATTCTTAAACAGTAATCTTAAAAGAAAACGTTGCTTGCAGACTACTTCAAGTCATTCATGAACGTGTAAAACATGTCCAGATTTATAGACGTCTTCTATCACAAGTTTTAATGATGTGACCGTTTTTCCTGAATAAGTCTACAGTGAGCATATCTTGTGATTGATCTATTGTTACTGTATAACTGTGAGGAGGGCAGACATGTTCCATCTGTGGATGTATGTTTCCAGAAGATGCTGGAAAAAGTGGTCAGAGGTCATTCAGTGGTCCGATAAATAGATGAGTGGAGGGACACATGGGGGTCAGAGATGACGCTCTTTTCTCTGCCTCCTTCGCATTTTCTCCCTCCAATTGTCTGTCTCCCTTTGCTCTGTGTGTATGTGTGTGAATTGTTGTTGTTGGCCAACAGCAGATCTATGTTATTGATTGACTCCTGTGGCTGCTGGGCTGCCCACTGAAGGAGGGGGCAGAGCTCTAATGAATTCCTGCACCTTGTGCCCCCTGCGCCAACCCCTACACCCCCTTCTTAATTAACTTTGTGGGTATTTTGTGTGTTTGTGTGGGAGTGAGTGCAGGTGAGGTGGGGGTGCTTGTGTGTGTGGATGCATGGAAGTATGTTTTTTGTGCGTCCTCCCCTGCTCCACTCCCCCGCTTTCTGCTCTCCCCTCCATCGGCCCCCTGTTTTTTTCTTTTCCTTCAGTACTATATCTTTTTCTATCATCCAACGAGTCTGATAGTTCAATGTGAATTCAGTAAATTTACATGGATGTCATTCTTTTTTGATACAGCTCATCTCCTTCTGGTAGCCGTATCTGATTTAGATCTCTAGATTGCTCAGATCTATGCAGATATGAAGGTGCATACAGAAAGGATTTCCATCCTCAGATCTGATCGGAGTGTCATATCTATACCCAACCTGAAAAATGACAGATTGCATGTGTTTGTGTGTCTGAAGGTCTTAGACCCATCGGTATTCCAGACGTGCAGGCAAACTACCATTTTTGTCACCTTGAACCCCTTGATTTCTCCTGCAATGGGAAGCAGCTCTGAGCTGCACAACAGGCACTTTCTCTCAGTTCAGTGTAATTGTAAATACCAGTTTAATTTTATTTCCTGTCTATTTCCGTTGATCTCTCCTTTATTAAAATGGTGTTTCTCTATACATTTTGTTTGTTCCTGTTTTGCTTTAAATATCAGCATTCTTTTATGCAATGAACACAATTATTTTATTTGATCTGAAGGTGTTGCATGTGATAGACCAAAAAACAAGTCATACATGCTTATAAAGTTGCGCAAAAAAAAAAAAAAAAATCACACAGGTGTTCAACTTTTCCACAAAAAGGAATGTAAAGCAGTGTGTTGAATCTGTATTCACTGCCCCAAAGTCAGTACTTTGTGGATCCATATTTGCTACCATTGTAGCCCCAAGTCTTTTGGGTGTATTTCTCTACCAGCTTTATTCTGGATCAAGAGACTGAAGTGTTTTGCAAAAAGTCAGACTGAAAGGAGAGCATCTGTGAACATCAACTCTAAAGGGTTCCACATTTTTTGAGCTGGATTAAGGCCTGAATTCCAAGTGGCCCATTGTAATTCATCAATAAAACCATTGCTTGTAGCTCTAGTTGTATTTTTACGACCGTTTTCCTGAACAGTGAGTGTGTTTGCAGCTTCTAGCAGGTTTTCTTCCAGCACTTTCTTGTATCTACCTCCATCCATTTTTGTATCAATTCTAGCCAGCTTCACTGACTTAAAGAAAATTATCCCAATAACATGATGATGTCATACTTTTACAGCAGTGATGGTTTGTTACTGTAATGTGAATTGTGATTTTCACACAGCATACAATGTTGTGCATGTAAATAAAGTTTGGTTTTTGATGCTGAGAGCACCTTCCACATGTTCGCTCTGCCCTGTGTAGCTAACCCTACTTCTTATGAATGGAGGAGCGCAGGCCGTTGATGATACAACCGTGTCTTTTCTGGCAATCATTTTAACCTAAAAACTAACAATATAAATTAGATTTGAGCAGATTTTTTTGGAGCCAAGCTTCAAATCATTAGTTGAAGGTCTATGAGGCTTTTTTGGCATATCGGACCTCAATTGGCTCCTCCATAAAGGTAAATAGTATGGCTGGATCCTTTGACCAACATCTTAATTGGAACCGGATATTACTTTTGGCAGCATGGGCAAAAAGTGGCAGCGGAACAAACATAATTTGAAACCCAAGAAACCAGATCGGGGAAGTTTGAAGGCATAGCCTTCATGTGGACAGGCTAAACCGCTTAAATGGCAACAAACTGGCAGGTTTGCGTGTGTGAGCCAGTGTAGGATTCACCTCTACATCTGCTAACTAAAACAGCAGCAATATCTGCTGTTTTTGTTAGACAGAAGAAAAAACTCTATTTGCGCAAGTTGTACACTACGAAAATGAATATGTTGAATGGAAACACTGCAATTCAGAAAAAAACTTTTGGTTTTTGATAAAAAAATATTTTTTTTAATTTAAATTAGGATTTTATTTGGTTATATTGAAATTCTTGTATTTTGCACAAATGAAATGGAAACACCTTTTTCACATCACACGAGTCCTGTGATATGGACCTTACTGCGGAAGAAGAAGAAGTAGACTGGAAGTAGTTGGAGGATGATGGCGCCCATTAGAGCAGTGTTTGAAACATGCCATTAAATGGCATTTGCCATTTAATGGAAATACCACAATTGTGAAAATGTGCATGTTTTTTTATTTAGCAGTATATCGACATAACTTTGTAATAGAAACACAGCTAATCGCAAACTTTTAAGTTAAGGTTCAGTTTCAGCAGATATTAATTTATTTGGATTCGCTTCTTCTCCCTTTCCTTCGTCGTTCTTCTCTAATCTTCCTTTTTTTTATGTAGCGGTGTTGCTGCGTCACTCACTGGAGTGGCAGAAGTATAACAATGTTTATTATAGTTTTTCTAAGCTTTGTGTGGTTTCATATTCTCGGTGAAACTTTTCTCTGTTGTTCCCTTCTGCAGCTTCATAGCCTTATAGTTGTCCTGAAAGCATTACCCACCTGTGATGTGGACCTTTGCAGTTCCTTCAGAATAACTAAAGGAGTTTTTTTCCCCAACATGTGAGTTTAGGGAAGCAGCCACATATTAGGATGTTCGTTTTGTTATAGTCAGTTTATTACTGGGTTCTGGAAGAAATTACTTAAATTGGATTTTATGTGGAGCAGTGAAGTAAATTGGGCTGAATAAAAGGCACACCACACTTTGATTTTTCGTAGTGCTTAGGTAGAAGGACACCTGGCTTACCTGTTTATTGGAGGTTTTACCTGTCATCTAAAAGACTGATCAGAGTTGAAAAAGTTTGCAGTTGTTTCGTTTGAAAGCAGCTCATCAATACATTAGCAAGGCGCTGTTATGAGAATGTCTTAAACCTTCTGCAGAGAACAGTCACATATCATTATGCACAACCTTCCACCCCCCCTTTAAGGCAAATCTACATTAGCGCTCAGATGTCTGTGTTTGCTTTAGATGAACACAATCTTTTCCTTCACAATCTCGAAGCCGGTGATGTGCCTCTTTGTTTTTTTTTCCCCTAAAAGAAAGCAACCTTGCATCAGGGAAATGTCAATTAGGAGACGTTAAAAGTATTTTAGTGTGTAAAATCTTGTGTGCGTGTTTGTCGAACTGTCGTTAGCCATGTGGTCTGACAGTTTTGTAGATCCACAGTGAAACGGCTGTCAGCATCTCCCTGCTTTCAGTGACTCTGATGGCTACATGGGCACATGCAGACGCAACAGACACACTACGCCTGTGTCTGCCTGTTCTCTCTTTCTCTTCCACCGTCTCTTTATGATCTCCTGGTTTTTATTGTCGACAGGTAATGATGTGGTATGTTAGGGAGTCAAGCAGTAAGGGAAATGAATTAGAGCTGTGGTACTCGCTGCTAAAACCTCTGCGTATAAATGTTGAATTTTCGGGTTTGAATTTTTGCACAGCTGTTTCAGTCATCAGGTCAAAACCTTGAAACTGCCGAAGTGACAACTTTATTGTAGTTTTTATGAGCTTTATTAATCCTCTGACAGGATTTTCACCCAGTGAAGAACCACGTAATCCCTCAAAATTAATTATCCCTTTTCTGTGGGAGACATCAAACATTATTACGTTTCTTTTTCAGACGAATTCAAAAGTAATTGAGTCAGATCTGCATACTCATCCTTTGTTACCTTTGTGTTATTTTCTGTTCAGGGGCAGACGTGACCGAACCGAACAGCTCAGACAGCCGTGGCGAACGCCTCGATTTTTTCCTTAAGCAGGAAGAGGCTCTTACAACAGAGCCGGGCTTCCTGGGCGCCAACGAATCGGAGGAGGCCAGCGGAGGAGCGGGAGGCGGAGGCATCTCGTCCGTAGCCAATCTGAAGGCAGCGCTCATGAGTAAGAACAGCCTGCTGTCGTTGCGGGCTGAGATGATGGGAGATGATAACCCCTTGCTGTATGAGTACCTGCCCAAAGGAGGACACTCCCTGTCCTGTAAGTATCTATTTACAGGAACTTTACTCACACTGCTTGTTACACCCAACTGAGCCACACCAGTTTACATGTTTCCTTCAAAGCGATGGACAGCGCCTTTTATAAGCATTCATATCACTAGAACTTTACTTAGTCTTTTTAATGTCTCATGTGAATGTTTTATGTGACACACCAACACGAGGTAGCACATCCTATGAGACATTGAAGATAAGGGATAAAGAATATACTGAAAAGTGTTGCATGCATATGTACTGATCCTCCTTTATTTTGATACTCAGTAAAATTCTGTGCAACAATTGGTTTCTAAAAATCTGTGGTTCTGTGAAGGCCTCAAAATGTTTGATATAGAACATTAGAGAGCAAGGAGGACAAGCCTGTGTACGCTAAACCCATTTTTACCACAGTGGTGGCAGCATCATGCTATGGGAGACCTTTCCTCTGGGACAGGAAAGGACAGATTGAGATTTGGAGCTGTAACTTTAGCAAAATATAATGCTATATGCATATATAATGACTCAGGATGCTTATGTACAAACACAATACTTTGCAGGGTTTTATTAAGAAAAATGAACATCATGTTTATTTTGTTTTTATTCATCCACTTTAAGAAATGTGAAACTTATAAAGCACTGTATCTAAATAATGTCTTTAACAGCTATAAATGTCCTTCAGTCAGTTGACTGGGTTAAATCTCAATGTTTTTGTTTTGTGACATGACTGCTGAGCAGTGACTAAGTGAGAGAACATTTTGCAAAGCTCTCTCTTGCAGAGAGAATGTTTTACTTTCTTCTCAAGCAGTTTTTTGTTGGCTCTCAGTGATTGTGCCACTGAACTTCAGAGAGACCAAATAAACCAAGATAATAGCCTCTCAAATAGTCATTAGCTCATATTGTTCCACATTAAACTTGCATATTACCACAAAATCTTACGTTTTAATTAACAAATGTGCCAAGATGCCCATATTTCAACCACTTTAGATCTGATGTTCACCCAATTCATTTATAACCCATTTGTAGATATAACATTTGCACAATTTGTACGGATATCTTTATCTTGTCTTTCTTTTTATTTAAGACCATATCTTTGCACTTACTACTATTTCTATTGGAATGCCTGTGTATAAAGTTGTGCATGGTGCAGGAAATGTTGATATCTGGTTTGCTCCCATTACTAATCAGCATTCTGGTGAGGTAGTGTGATGGTGAGACAACCTCTAGAATTCAGGAGTGGTTGTGTGCTTAATGCCATTGAGCAGTTATGGGATCAGAGCGTGTTGTTAATCCCACAGTGACCAATGCGACCATGTTGGCTAACTTGTGACAAATGCTGGTTGAAGGATGGGACACCATTACCCAGCTTGTGACAACCCTGAGGAGATGTCAAGCTGTTGGGGCTTTGATCACTTCTCACATACATCAACAAAACTCAGGCATGTCTACTCTATATGTTATTGTAAGTTACCAATACATATATCCTGTTTCTTCAAACTTTCAATCATTTCACCAATAGATGACTCTGAAGCTGATTGTTATGGAAAAAAGGTTATAACTGTTTTTTTTTCTGTACTGAATGGTTTCCGTGATTATTATGATACATCTTCAAATTTTAAGTCAAATTTAGAAGATATTTTTATGCAAAATTAAAGAAAGTGTGTAAGGAAATGGTGTTGGCCTTGTGGTTAGAGCAATGCACTTGTGCTCTGAGAAGGTTGGAAGTACCTGGTTTTGATCCCCACAGCCTGCACTATGGGTCCCTGAGCAAAGAGCCTTAACCCCAAACTGCTCCCTGGGCGCCACACAGTGGCAGCCCTATACTCCCCAAGGGGATGGGTGAAATGTTGAGGTACATTTCTCCAGTGTGCGATAAGTAACGTTCAATTATTATTTAAAAAATATATATTAATATTATAATTACTATATTGACAAAAACTAATGAGTTTTATTTAAAAAATGTCAAAACACTGAATTTTTATATATATTTATATATAAATCTCAACTGCCCTGCTGTTCCAATGTCCTGATAGCTGATTGCAAACTCTACTCCTTTGTGAGAAAAATAGTCAAACTCGGTATTCCACAAATTGTAGTTTGTCAAATGCCTAAAATATTTTTTGTTTGTTTGTTTTTCTGGTATACAGGATACCAAATTAAAAAGCCAAATAACCGGCTTTCTTTCTTAATTTCTTTCTTAATAATCAATGTCCCCACCATTTAAAGTGAAATCAAAAAGCTGTTGCAAAAAGTGGGAAAAGATTGACCAAACTTGATTGGTTTATTTATGTTTACGCTATATTTGTTATAGCTGTTGATCTGCTTATTTCCCCAAACTATAACTGACTAAACCATATATTTATCATGTTTATTACACAGGAATAACCTGCAGATTAAGTGTTTAATTTGTCTATAAGAGAATTTCTTCTTTCCAATGTTTTTCTTTGCTACTTATTGAGCGCTTCTTTATTTAATAGGTTTAGTTGAAAGGAAACAAGCACAATAGCATAGACAGCTGAATGAAACTACATGCCTGTATGATGGTGCTTATAGGTTAAATATAATTGTTAACTAGGCCTATTAACTTTTTACCTTCACTTTTTATCTTTTCAATGAGCTTTTTCCCTTTTTTTCTTGACTTGTTAACATTTTTTTTCATTCAATTCATTCATTCATTTTTTTTTCAATATATCATTCAAGGGCTCATCTAATTGGTCAAATGATCAAATAAGATGTACAGCCATGTAGCAGTATCTGTGCTGAATGGTTGGATATAGATCTTGTGCTTCTAGACCTCACTGAGGGATGGAGGGACACCATTTGTAAGGGGTATGCAAGGGAACAAAAACGGTTACTTACCCTATAAAGGGTTAAAACATGATATTGACAACATTTGCAAAATCATAGATATTAAGCAAAAACAGATAAAAACATAACATTTTTTGATATAGCCAGAGTTTAGTATGTTTCTTAAACATGCTGAGGTTGGTCACAGGTTTTAAACTGACAGAGAATGAGCTCCATGAGAGACTACTTTGAGCATCAGAAGCTCTGCAGGAGGAGACCTTACAGTTAGTGCGTACATGTTAGATCTGCTGTCACCATTGGGCACCTGTATACAACTGCTTAACGGTTTGCATACATACATAAATCCATTAAACTTTAAAAAATACATTTGTGAAAAATTGTGATTTATTATGTTAGAAAATATCCAAAAAAAATCCAAAACAGGAATATAGAAATTATGAATTTTGTTTGGTTCTGGGTTAGACCACACAGTAGAAATCAATGAAGTCAGTTTAAAGTCCCCCATAAGGATAGCGGAACATAACGTGTGTGTGTGTGTGTGGTACTGTGAGCACATATTCGCTGGAGCCCAGGTCCGCGTGGGCACATTTTGCGAGCTCAACTTCAGGATTTGTTTCTTTCACGGTTACTGCCGTGTAATTGGATCTTTTGTCCTCTGAGTTCTGCCTGTTTTCTGTAAGCGTAAGAAAAGCAGAGAAAGGGTACAACTCCAAGCCCAGTTGCGTCTACTGAGCTGAACCCCACTCACTTACAGTATAAAAGATCAGGCCAAGCCTGAATAGGCCAAATACACACACCTATAATCGCGCACGCTCGCATGCTTGTGTCACTTGGCATCCCCTCTATTGTGCAAGTGTTAAGTGTGTGGGATTAAGATGTTTGGCTCAGAGAAGAGAATCAGATGCTGTCACAGCACAGAAAGCCTCAGAAAATACAGCCAGAGGTTTTTGGATTATGCTTTTGGATTTTGCAGCTACAATCAGCCTTGACTATCTGAATAAAAGATTTGGAGAATTCTAAGAATGTTGCTCATTTGTTCCCTGCATGGGAAAGTTTTCTGAATGAGCCCTATATCTGTATTTCTGTTGTCACCAAAGAAACCTCAGGGAGGGTTTTTTTTGGTTAGCCAAACACTATTTTGTATTCGCTACACAATAGGGGTTGGGGAAATGGGCTTGCTGAGATGGCCAGCAGCCTCCCCTCCCACCCCAGGTCTGTCCCTGTGTCTAAATGAGGACAGAGGATAAACAAACACTGTACCTCAGATTACTGGGCGGAGGAGAAGTCTGCCTGCTTTGACAGATCACTGCTCCTACTGTCACTCCCTCCCTCCCTCTTTCTAACCATCCAGCTCCAGTCCCCCCTTCTACTGTCAGTTTTCTATCGTCCTTTTCTTCACTCCTGGGTGTAACAGCCCTGATGTACATTTATCCCTCCCCTTCTGTTTCCCTCCTTCTTTCTCCTTCACCCCACCTTAACACTCGTTCCTCACCCTTTCCTTCCCGCTCTGGATTTCCTCTTTTTGTTTCTCTTACTTCTGGCCCTCATTTGACTTTATCTGGGGAGCATCAAACCGTGTTGCTTTAAATCATGGGAAGATATTGATCTGGGCAGAGTGGAGGTAGAGCAAGGTCACCTGCCCCAATTTAAGAGAGACTTGAATTTTTTGCAAAAGGCTTTGATACAGAGCTTTTCTTGCTCTCATTGTTCCATAAAATCAGCTTTTCGTGTGGGATCCATACACCTAGTCTGACAAAAACAGTTTGTGTTGTTCTGTTTAATTCTTTCTAATCTGTACCAGCTGACGACTTGTTTACATTACATGGGATTCCAACATAAAGCCCTTTGTGTTTGCTTTCTTTGCATGGGACATGGACTAGATCCTCCTTACATGTCTAATGCCAAAAATACAGTAGAACCGGACTGCCTGTCAATCAGTCTCTAAAATCCAATTAGGGTCATTGGGATTAAGCCCCTCTACCCTACTATGTGTCAGGGAGTCGGTGTCTAACAATGGATCGTGTCGGACCATCCTAGTGCACCTGTCCACGCTGCCACTGTGTACAGGCTGCAAAGAACATCCAATTAACTGCACAGATCATACTGACAATATTGAACTTTTCTAAAGTGTCATCTCTCATCACCACACATCAACTTCTCTTTTTAAATGGACTCAGCATGCACAATATTTGCATGTAAAACTGGTACCTTTACAAAAATTATCTGGGTGTATTTCAGTGGCAAATTTTTTTAGTTTGACATACCAAGATACATTTATCAAGTCTCTTTTTAAACTCTAGAGGACAGAAAGAGCAGCAGCTTTCATATTTTAGATATCAATAGGAAGAATTGGATTCAGAAAAGTTTTGGGGTTTCTTTTAAGTAACCTGCTGTGTTCTTTTCTTCAAACTTTTGAAAGTTCCTGGACTTACTTGAAGTTATTGGATGTCAGAATTTGTGATAATAATTACCTAAATCTGCTGCTGAAATTTGAACTCCAAGTTGCTAAATCGATTTTTATCAGACCGCAATCAGTTGCACTCATAGAGCTGCACTAAAAAAAAGTTGAAAGCATTTTCACAAACAGATAAAAAACATTCTTAGTGACTGATGCCCCTTCCAAACAGTACAATACTTAAAAAGATCTCACTGTTGGGCACGATGCCTCTCTCTATCTGGGTTACCAATTCATAGACAAATTGAGAACAGCAACAAATAAAAATAAAGTTGTAGGAATAATATTTTCATTGTTTCCATTAATACCATTTCAGCAGCAAAGATGCAGGAAAATTAAATCTTTCACTTACAAAGAAGTGAGAGTATACCATTTGATATTACCTCAGGAGTGTCATTGAGAACTTAACTACCTAAAGCATGGTTTAAAAAGTGCTCCTCTCCACAGCTACTTCCATTTCTCCTAATTTGACAGTGGATAGGTTCAACATTTAGTGGTCTTTCAATACTGAGTTAATCTCAAACTAAAAGGGTCTGAGGTAAATGTTTTCCACATTAAATTAACTTTATCATGTAAGTTTTTCTTCTGAACTCATCATTATCCTATAATATGATTCGTTTAGTCTGCATTGTTCTACTCAAAAACATAAAATGAACAAAAAAATGAAAATTTTTTTCTTCATCAGATAAAGGAGTAGAAAAGGCACTTTAGTGTGGTCCCAGTATCTCTACGCTGCACAGTTTTGGTTATTTTACATCTAATTTCAAAGCTGTGGAAGAGAATGAAGTTTCAGGAAGCCTTGGCTAACAAGATGACTTTAAGCCCTTTTTCTGCTAACAAACTTATGAAGTTTTAGGCAATTAGCTACTTATAACAGGATATTCAACTTCAGAGAGCTGCTTTTCTAGGGCTTAGAACCCTGTAAGTCTTAACCCCCTTTTAGTGGCAGATGGAGTAAAAGAACTAAGTTCTTATAAGGTCAGCATGCTCCTACAGCCTGTAGTCAAATTCAGTCGTGTATAAGAAATTTTTTGGACTAGATTTCTATTCTGTGCATAATATTACTGAATTTCTACCTTATTTCGTTTTTGGGATCAAAAGGTACTTTTGAATTGAATTAGTTTAATTATATTTCTGTTCTTTACACATTGTTTTTTTTATAAAATTCTCTAATCCGTAAAAAGCACTGTTTTCTTTCTTTTTAAGACCCCTTCAGACATGACTAAAAATACAAAAAATGTGCTTAACAGAAACAACATAACAAAAATAAAACAAAATAACTTATTAACTGAACTAGTCCAAAGCAAACAGTTATGTAATGATGATTAGTGGACACTAGACTTTGAAAGACAAATAAGCATTGATCCTGATCAGTTCTCCCAAAAATGCTAATCATATACAGAAAAATAAAATGAATTAACTGTTCAAATATATTTTTAATTCACACACCTTTTATAAATTACAGGAATGGGAAAAACAAATTTGAGATAAAATCATATAAAATCATTATAAAGCTAAAATAAAATGGCATTATATATATCAGACCTTAAACATAGTGTTTACTAAACCTATTTTTTTCAGGAAATGTTTGGCTGCAGGAAAGATTTTGGATAGATGTTTGGCACAGTTACACCAAAACCTTGACTTTGTCCATAAGGAACTTTGTAATGAACATAGCGGTGTGTTTAGGAAAGTTAATTAATTGAAAGATCAAGCTGTAACTCTTGCGCTGATGTGCTCCTGCAGTACAAAACCCCCATTACATAATGTTGCCACCCCGTGTTGGTCTGTTGGGATGGCGTCCTCAGGTTAGCAAGCTTTCTCCTTTTTCCAGCAAAAGTTTTCTTGAATACATTTAGCTTTTTTTAATGTAGGTTTTGTCTTCTTCCTACCTGAGTGGCATTTCAGACAATTTTGATAAAAACTTTTTTATTTCCATTGTGAATAACACTGTTGCCAACTTCAGCCAAGTTCTTCACAAGGTCCTCTCTTTTGTTCTGCTGTTGCTGTGCTCATTTTGCACCACATGTTCTCGTCTCGAATGCAGTATGACATCTTCACATCCCCATGGTGTTTATACTTGATTGATTTCCCCTCAGGCATCTAAAACAACTCTTAAAAAAAAACTGATTGGTGGTTGTCAAAATATATCCAGCTGTTGTTTTTGCTGATTTTTTTTTTTTTTATAAAATAGATGACTATGTTTCAGGTGTATCATAAATCCAGAGTGGGGCCCTTTAATTTTTACTGAATTCTTGTTAAAAAAAATCTATTGGAAGCCATAATATTATAATAATCATATGGATTTCCCCAATTTATTTAACAGAATAGAAAGAAGTATATAAAAAAAAATGTCTCTGAGGAAAGTTCAACAGGACACTTCTATAAATAGTTTAGTTATGGTTGCTTTTGGTAGATGATATAATTGTGGTAATCCTACCTGACCTAAAACCCCCAAAACTTTTGTCTAATTTCATGCTGGAAAGTAAAAAAAAAGAAAAAAGTATTTTATATATAAGAAAAATATGAACCAGATCTCAGCTGTATAAATAAATAGATAAAAATGGAAATTTAATGTTGTGCTAGTCTACATTTAGATTTAGTGCCTTCACATCTGTCAATACCTCTGTCCTATTTAAAAAAAAAATGCTTATCTATATTTAGATACATTTTAGTGGCATTAAAAAAGGTTTATTCTCATTAAAAAGTACCTATTGAATGGACCTGCAAAAAAATTATAAAAAAAAAGCTAGAAGCTAGAGTCTGGAACTGAAAGATAAAAGGGAAGTTTGGTGCTAACTATTGTAGCTGACACACTTCTGTCAATAAACTGATTTTCCTCCAATTCTTGTATATCTGGTAGCAGGACAGCAGTCCAATTAGATGACCTATTCACGCAGTAACCAAAGTTTGACTTAACTCTGTGAAACGGCAAGACTTTTAGAGCCGGCTAACGGTGTTACTCTATAATTACGCTTCTCTGACAGGTGTCTGCTGCCAGAACACCATTAGTTAATGAGCTGCTCCGTCTCACCTGCAGCTCATTCATTTGCGCTCCCCCTCTGCTTCCTCTTCCCCGCTCTTAAGGTTCTTCCCTCTGCCTCTGCTGGGGTGGGAGAGAAGGAGGACAGGGATTGTAGCTCTTGTATTTGTGCTCACTCAGTAGGAGTAGGGAGTGTCAGGCGTGGTAGTTTAACATTCCAGGAATCAAACCTCATGGATGTGTGATTCTGTCCATTGTGCAGAGGAGGGCAATTAATGGCTAACCATCTGCATAGCTCTGGAGACATTCCCCCCCAAATACAAATACACTTTGAAACAACTTGCAACACATTATCTTGTGACAATAACAAAATGAAAAGAAAGCACTTGATTTGTGTTGTGAGCTGTTGGTGATGTTAATGTTCCAGAAAAGCTACTGTGTGGACTAAATTTCTAAATTCTTCAGCCAGCGTGCCTTTACTTGTAACTGGTAAACATCTTACATGCTCCGTGTAGTCATACTTTGCCCAGCTTGTGCAAAAAGTGTTCAAGTAAGTTGCAAGATGGCTCTTCTCCAAAATGATTTCCCTCCACACAACAGAGGATCCTCAAGCCCTCTCTCTTTACATGCATTTTCACTGCTGTACACAAACACAAGCGCACGCTCTCCCAAAAACACACACATGGTGCCATCTTCCACGCACACATGTGGGTGGAAGGAGAAGGAGAGCAGAGGAGCAAAGGAAAGAAAGAGAGAGAGAGAAAGAGAGAAGAGAATTCCTAACCCTTTCCCCTTGGCTGGTGGAAAGTGAAACTTTTGAGTTTTTTTCTTCCTCCCCCTCTCCTCAGTGTTTGATAGTGTAGCACTGGCAGCCTCTCTGTGCCCCCCTGCCCACTCTCTCCCGTTGTGTTCTGGTGGCCCAGCTGCTAGCAGGGTTGCAGTTGTACGTGAGTGGGTGGGTGAGACTCGTTTCCTGTGCTCCTCAGGGCTCCGCTCCAACAACTACTCCAGCGCGCTCCGGCCAGGGGCCACGGGGGCCGCTATTCATAACAAAGAGGGCGCTGGTTCCTCTTCTCCTCTTCCTCTTCTTCCTCTTCATCTACCACCATCACCACCACCACCCCATCTGCCATCATCAACATCAGCATACTGCCCACCCTCTCCGCCCACACCTATGCACCCAACTGAGCCTCGGCCCCTGGAGGCCCCCGGGCTGCGGGCTGGGGCGACACCGCTGAACTCAGAAGGACTGGATATGGAAGTAGAAGAGGCCCCAGAGGGCACAGAGCCCTCCGCCTTACCTGAGGTAAGCACACTGAGCCTGGCTTAGCTCCATGTTGGAGGCTGCCAACTGGGTGCTACTCTGATAGATAGAAGTTTGTGGGAAGTAGTTTAGCACCCAGGGGGCACCTTCAGCCTGCTTCAACACACACTGGGGGCGGGAGGGTCCAAGGCATGGGCCGGTTATCTGTGTAAAAGACTGCTTAGTGTTTTCAAAAATTTGTTTTTAAAGCCTGAAGATCTTTTGTCAGACTTTTACTACAGTTTAATGTGAAATTTCCACAAAGTGCCAAAGCAACTGGCTATTTTCTCAACATTAGGTTGAGCACACAGTACTGCCATGCTACCCATCTCCCACCTCTTTCCAAACACTGCCTGTCAGCTGGCTTAAAGGATAGAACACCTTTTTCTTGGTTACAAGAAACACAATTTTAGCTGTTTTAATGTTTTTTTTCCCAGTTTGTTTAAGAATTAAACCATCCCTAGCTAATAATTTCAGGTAATGTGGCTCTAGGACTACAGTTGGTCGGCAACAAGCAGCATGTCTTTAAGGCAGCTAACAGCTGGGTGGCTCCTCAAGCATAGAGCCATATAATTAACCAGCTAATATCAGCTTGTAATAGTCACAGCATTACCAATAAAAAAACAGAATGCCAAAAAGGTATAATCTGCCCTATAAACATCTGCAAACTACATCTACAGTACATCTAGTAGGTTTTGACAGTTTTTTCTGCTTAAACACAATCCAATCCAATCCAAATTATATTTATAGTGGAAAAATAGTCTGAGGACATGGTTCACATTGGGGAAACGGTGGATTCCTTCCTTTAGTTTCTGCATTCAGTTGCGGATTTAACTTCTTCTTGTCTTATTGACAGATAAGGTTAGGGTGGTTGCAGGTGACAGATTGTGACCTCATTTACACTAATGTGGCCGCTGCTCCAGTCATGTGAAAAAAAGGGCTGAACAGAAAAGCAAGGCTCTCTACTTTCCTGTTCATCCTTGTTCTGAAGCTCAGTTATGGTCATCAGATGTGTGTCATGACTTAAAAAAAATATTTTCCGAAAAAGCAGATGAAATAAGCCTTTCCTCCAGGTTTATTGGTTCAGATGGGGTGAGGTAAACATCTAAGGGGAGCTGGGAGTCGCTGGAGGTTATTCAGGCTTCTAACACTATTCCTCCCTTTGGGGATTTTCTGGAGGCGTCCTACTGGGAGGAGATCACAGAGCACACCCCCAACTCGCTGGAGAGACCATACCTCTATTCCAGTACTATGGAATACTGCATAAAATCAGCTGAAGAGAAATGTCCAGATCTCCCTCCTGAACCAGAAGCCCCTGCAGCTCAATCCTAACTTGAACAGTGATGTAGAGATACAGATGATATTTTTACAACTGCTGTTAATCATGCAGTTGGTAACAATGTAGCTTTTCATTTTAGGCTTAAAGTAATTACAGTACTTTTTATTGGCACAACAATACAGTGTACCCTGGCACTTTAACATAAGGTTATCATACTTTGTGAATCTCATACTGGTCCATGCCTTGTTCAATTAGAGTTTATGTGGGTAGTTTTTCATCATGCAAACCCTTTATATCTCCTCCAGCCCTTCTCTATTTTTTTTGTGTTTGTGTATTTGTGTGTGAATCTGCAATATTTCCTGCTCCACTGAAGTTAACAAAGCTGCCTGTTTTTTTTTTTTTTTGCCTTTCCTTTATGCTTTTGACTCTCTGTTTCTTTCAGATCGCTGTCACCCTTCCCTCTAGCCTCTTTTCTCAGTCTTTTAATATAGCCCGACCTGAGTTTGCCTTGAAGCAAGGAGACTTTGCATGGTATTAAAGATAATGTAGTTTATAGTGGTTACACCAGACATGACACCTTTAGTTACAATGGCAGCGTGAGCCCAGAGATAGCAGATAACGGGCAAAGGTAGTGTGATGAGCCTGAGTAGAATCAATACTAGAAGACAAAGAGAGGTTTGGTTTTGTGGCTCAGGAAATTGTTTGTTCTGCTCTGGGTGTGTGTGTGTGTGTGTGTGTGTGTGTGTGTGTGTGCGAGGAATATGTGGGCGTTTGTGTGTGTGTTTTGTGCCAGTTTGTGTGCGTGCAAGCATTTAGGAGAAGCATTTGATTTCAGTGGACCTGCCTCCCAACAAGCCTCCCTATCTCTACGGACAAGCCATCTGTTTGCCCAGTGCATGGTGTTCTGTTCTTAGAGAGGAGGAGGAGGAGGGAGAGTGAAGGAGCTAAGCAAACAGGCGGGGGTGAAGGAATGGCACGGGTATGGAGTAGATAGACAGGGGTAGAGGTTTACTCTGGTGCAGAAGGGATGGGATGGATCTTGACTGCACTTTACTGAAACCTTAGAGGGTTTATGGTAATCAGTCATAAATCTTTAAGGGCTGTAATTGTGCATGTTTTTGAAACCTACAACTGAATTAAATAGTTATTTAACAGGTCTCTCTAGAAAATGGAGACATACAAGTAGGTTATACAGGCATAGTCAGGTGCAAATGAGGCAGGGGTTTGAAATCATACAGGACACTAACCCTCGATGTCTAGTAGGTTATCTGTTTATTAAATGAATAGTTCTGGATTTTTCGTAGGGAGATGAAGATAACCTGCAGTAGTTATCTCTCTCTGGGAGATATTTTAGTGTGAATACTGGATAGCTGATCCAGCAGCTTTAAGCTAATGGTCAACAAGATATGGCCCAGGATGGGCCAAGGAGTTTTTTTTTTTTTTTCTGAACAACTATAGTCTAAAAAATAAAAAAATATGGGAATAATATATATTCTAATATATATTCTGAACCTTTAAATGTCATGTTTGCATTTGGTGGTTATTTACACTGAAACTGATTGCTGTGATAGAAGTGGGAGAATGTGTGATCTTCCTGTGACATACATACTCAGAAAAGGATTCCTAAAAGGGACTCAGTTACAAAAAAATATTTCTAATTCAACATTTTGTTTATAACTCCAAACGTGGCAATTCTAGTGTGTTGTTTGTTTTTTAGATGGCAAACTATTTTATTGGTGTCATCAGATGCAGTTTCTTAATATTTCTCTGAAGTGTGATTGAGCAGGAATGGTTATGTAAGTAAAAGTCCCATATCTCTATCAAATAAAAAAGATAAAAAGATGTAGGTTAAACTGAATCAGTTTAGCACAATAACAAATGTAACAACAGAGGTAGTTGCATTTCTGATTTTTTGTTTTAACCATGGACTTAATGAGCCTATACTTTGAGAACAACCAGATATCATCAAGCACAAGTTGGCCAACTGAGGATCTGTAATAAAGTAAAGCCCAGATGGAAGCATCCAGGAACTCTGAGCGTCTTTACATACAGATTTTCTACAGAGAGGAAATTAAATTCCATTTTAATGAAGTATAAAGGCTTAAAATAGGATATCTTAAGTTAATAGACTAAAATCTTTGGTTGTCACACCTGTCGGGAAGATTTTTTATTTTTTTTTTGCCAAATAAATATATTTTTTAAAGAGTAGACAGAAAGTTGGGGGGGAAAAGCACCGCTTTAGTTTATCCTCTCTCTGTATACATGATAGGGAGTGTGGGATCTTATGAGAAAGAACAAAAACCTTTAAGTCTATGCTGAAGACATCCCGACAGCTCATCTCTGAACAAAGAGATAAAATCAAGATGACTGTTGGGCTGCTGCATTAAAAAGAGTCCTGCAAGAATTTCAAGTGTATAAATAATACATTTCTAAATCGACTGCAGATGTTGGGCATGGATATGTGTTTGCATGTGAATGTGCACAGTTATACCGAATTCATTACCCTTTATTTATACATAGCCAATAAAAAACAAATTGATTTCAAGCCACTTTACAAGACAAATAGGTCTATTTTATATAAAGAATTGTAAAATTAAATCTGTCCAATCTTTAAGACAGATTCTGCCCTGATGGGGAAAAGAGGAGGCACAGCTGTTCTTATTGATTTTTGTTCTTATTATGAATTTAAATGGGTGGACTCCATAAAAAAACCCTTCAGGAAGTATATGTGTTTGATCACTCGATTAATCAAGGATTTTATATAGAGTGCTCATTTATTAAAATGTATGATAGCAGCATTGCTACTAACAACAGCAAATGTTAAGTGCTTTCAGTCCGAATAACTGTTTTTGACATAAAAGTTAAAAGCTCTGTTTTATTGATTTTTACACCGCTTTGGTTTTCTGAGAGCTAGTTACTCTCACCAAAAATGTTTTACACGCTTCTTTCTGGGTATGATATTCAAAGATTATTTGTTGTGCACCACCACCTACTTCTGATTCATGTGTAAATCATTCCAGTGTATGTAACCAAACAATACAAGTTAGACAACGGTTTCAGGGTAGCTAAAGCAGTTTTGGCAAAATTCTGACAAATTCTAAATTTATGTAAAAGAAAAGGCTTTCAACACTGATTTATATTTAGAGGTGTTTCTTATATATTTGATTTACGGTTTTAAAACAGGTTTTTTTTAGGGGGGTGTCATATTTAATGATGGAAACAATTAATAAACTACCATCTTTTAAAAAAACAAGCCTTTATGCCTGTAGACTATCTTTGGTCAGGGTCTAAATTTGATCTTAAGGTGACAAGTAAAGCTGTGATGTTGAAATTATCTTTCACCACACAGTCAGAATAAGAGAAGTTCAGCATCCTGTTGTTTTAATGACTAATAAAACATACTAATAATATCATCTAAACTGAATGTTTTCCAAGAAAGGTTCAAAACTGTTTGACTGTGTTTAATTTGAAAATCAAGCATGTGTTGTAACGATGGTGGTTGTCCCTCTTTTAGTAGAGGTTATCGTGAATTGTTAAGGCAATGTTATTAAGAAAGAGAATAGTCCCCTTAACAGAACCTAGTTTTAAAATTCTAAAACCATCCCTTAAAAAAATATCACTACTTAGGACGCCAATTAGAAAGATATTTCCTCCTAAAATACTATGACAGCTGGTTTTGTTGTTTATTCTTTCTAACCTGTTTTGATTAAATTATGACCCTTTTTTCTTAAGTTTTCACGTCTTTACGTCTTTCTTTTTGCATGTCAATAAAAGATCTGCTTTAAGAGTTTGTACCACCTTCCTGCCCTCTGCATGCTCAGACAACATTCTTTACAGATTGGATTAATGTGCCACATAACGGGTTGTTTTGTGCTTACAGGAGGGTGTAAAGAACAAAGACGAAATGAAAGACTACAGCACAGGTATAGTTCAGATGTTAACATATGGACTGTCTCAAAAAGTTGACGTTTAATTGGTGTTTTATGTTTTATTATGTTCTTTCCCTCCTTATTTTAGACCTGGAAGGTGACCAGTCCCCTGTTGAGCGGGATCAGATGGGCCAGAGGAGCTATATTGGTGGCTCATCAGTGCCTGCATCAGTGTCTGAGGTTGGCAAAGGATCTAAAGGTCCGGGTGAGGAGGCTGGATCAGGGGAAAAAGTCCTGCCAGAGCATGGTGGCTTCTCCTCACAGGGGCTCTCCTGCTCCCTGTGCAAACGGCTGTTCAGCAGCCTGGAGCATCTCAGGGAACATGAGTACCACCACACCCTGTCTCTGATGGCCCTTTCCCTGGACTGGCCAGGTATGCCAGGTCCTCTCCACCAGCCTATCCAGCCCCGTCACCAGTCACAGCCCCAACCTCCCCTTTTCAGCCAGTCTCTCTACCGCCCTGCAGTGGGTGAACCTGTTGCGGCTCGCTACTTCTGCTCCCACTGCCCTGCCAGCTTCACCCTCAAATCAAATGCAGACCGTCACGAGAAGACCATCCACTTTAAAAAGAAGCTGATGCAGTGTGTGTACTGCCTGAAGCACTTTCGGGATCGCACAGACCTGCACCGGCACCTGTCTTCTGTGCACTCCAAAGAGAGAGGGCACACCTGTCCAGCCTGTGCCAAGGCTTTTAGCACCCAAAAGAACTTGGCAACACATGTTAAAGTGTGTTGTCAGGTGGCCTTGGTTCCAGGAGCTCTGCTGGGAGGCAGCACTGGAATGGAAATGTCCCAGAGTGGGCCGTCAGACCCACTGTGGCGCCTCAACCAACACCTAAAAGTTGACAGTTACGATGGCAGTATTGATGTGGAAGGCCTGTAGAGTCACTCATACCCATTTAAAGTTAAAATTGTACCTTCATTTGCATTTAACATTCATGCCAAAAAATACTTTGTGGTTTTATGCATTCAAAATGGAAGAATTTCCTGTGAACAAAAATGTGGAGAACTTTTTTTAAACTCCTTGTTGAATATCATGCCATTATTACTGTGCAAAAATAACCCATTTTTACTGATGTCACTCTGTCAGAATAGCAGAGTTGCTATGCAAAATGAACCTAACTATAAACCCATTAAATGTTTAACCCATAATTTATGCAATGTTTAATTAGTTTAGAGTAAAAAGCGAACTAAACCCATAACGTTACACTGCAGTGCCAAGTGGAGAGACAGGGGGTGTATTCTCACTTCCTCAGCAAAAACCACTAGTCTGACTCTATGGCACTAGTCGCCGCTGTGACTATGCTTTCATCTCCTTTTTAGGTAGAAAGATCTTAATCTTCATGTCCACCCATGCATTACATGCACAAAGACATTTAAACAGAGCCCTTACCTGTCAGGCTTTGTGGGTTACAGTTCAACCAACAACACCACCTGCAGGATTTTTGCAGAATAGCAGAATGAGAAGTAAATCAGTCTCTTTCACTTAGCTAGTATTATATAGAATAGAAAAAAAAGTTTATAAAAAGACAAGACCTTTTTTGTTTACAGAAGTTTGTCTTCAGCAGTTGTCTAACATGATTATGTTAAGATAGATGCTAAAGCTATCAGATGAGCACAGATGGAGGGGATTTACTATAGAAGACAAAGCCTGCTAAAACAATAGGCCTGCAGCAGATGGGGGTTGGTTGGTGTCATTTTCCATTAATATTCCAGCCACCTTCTTAGACCCAGATCTATGAGTGCCGTAGTGGCCGAGAAGGCCAGGACCTGGGCAGTAATCTGTCCTCCATGGCTCCAGCCCCCTCTTAACCTCTTGACCCCCACATCTGAAGTAGAAGTGGAGGCCGAGGGGCAGAGGCCCGTTAAACCAGAGGAGCTCAGTGATGTCACGGCTGCCCAACGATAATAGCGCTGTGATGTGCTTGGGGGAGAAAATGTGGAATCAAGTGAGACAAGTGGAAAAAATGCATATGAATAATAATAAGGGAGGAGGTGAGCAGCAGTTGGGCCGAACAAGAGCTTGACAATCATTGCTAATGTGAATTACACCAGGGTCTGCCTAAACCCTTTTGGTTTGAGTTTACAACAGATGTGCAACAAGAAAATACAGAAAAAAAACTTATTGAATATCTAAAAAAAATTTTTCTCTCAGAGAATGTATGTATTTGGGATTTGTTGACATTATGTTCACATCAGACGTTGGTAACAAACCCATCTAATCCACGTGTACAGAGGAACAGAAATCTACCCAAATACTAACCTATATAACATAAAGGGAACGACAAAATTATTCATAATGAAAACTAGTTTACATTTTTTTTTGCTTCAGAACATCTCCTTGATGCAGCATCTAGCATGCATTACTCAGGAATTCTTAAAGCTTTATTTGATACAAACTGCCTTCAATCTGTACTGTTTAGTCTTTTCCACAGATTCCCATTTAAGTCAGATAAGTAACGGAATCATTTAACAAGTTCTCTTTTTTTTTCTCTTTAACTTTAACTGTGTGTTTGGGATCGTTTTAGTGCTGAAAATCCACCCTGGTTTAATCTGCATTCTATTATCAGTTATATCTGTGTAAACATGTCAATTTATTCATTTAATTATATGAAGCCTGCTAGTAGATAATACTGAAAAACATTCCATGCTGTTCCCACGTCAAAATCCACTGTTGGTGCAGTGGTTTGTGGGGTAATGCACAGTGTAATTGCATCTTCAAAAACAGTGGGTGCAATGACAAGGTAATTTCCATCCTATATGAGACGAAACTGTCTCTTATAACCCTTCTTAATTTTAGCAGCTTGTTTTAAATTTGACTTTAACAGCTTTTTCTTCAGTAGTGAGATTAAATAATGACAGCTGGAGTAGTAGTGCATTCACTACTTTTTGGCTCTTGGACGACTCTTCAGGTTGTCTTACAATGAGCCCACCATTGTGGTTTATTTACAGAGAAATCAGAATCTTTTACACTTTTGGATTAATAACCCCGAAGGTGCTCAGTGGCACAATCTGAGATGCTTGCTGTCTGACATCTTGGTTGGTCTCTTAATAGGCCACACATTAGGCGTTAACCAGCTGACAGTCACTGGCACTGATAGGCAGTGTTTTGCTTTCAGAATAATTATATTTTCAGTTATTTCTCATCTTTTTATGCATTTATGCGATTTTCAGCTGTTTAGGTTTAGCTATTTTGTCTTTTTACTTCACTCCATATAATTGAATTTATGCAACTGCTTGTTAGTTTTTTTTTTTATTATTATTATTGGATGATGTTGTTTTTACCAACACCTGGTCTGAACTTAATGTCTATAGGACCATTAGAAACATAAACTGAGAAAAAAAAACTGTTCAATACTAAATTTTCCTGCTGTATTTTTGTTCATATAACTTACCCATAAAGAGTTCATGTATAAACCCATACTTTGAATGAAATACCCATTAAGCAGGGATACCTGCTTTTATCTTTCTAGGTGCTCCTTATTAAAGCAACACTTGAGCCCATAGGGGAACTTTTCCCTTTTTTGCATTATATACACAGGAAACTCTGAACTGCCAAAAGCTTTATGAAATCCAATCTTCAGGTAGCATATTTTGCAGCTGAAACAGAGTCCCAGGTTGATTGAACTCAGGAACTAAATGGGAATTCTTCAGAGGTAGTTTTTTTGTGGTTTGGTCTTTATGAGTTTGAATGAGTGTTTTTACGAGTACAGAAAGATGTGTCCAGATATAGCCTCGATAATGTATCTTTGCAATCAATGTACTGCTCAGACCTCTGTACTTAAAGAAAAAATCTGTAGATTTCATGCTGTGATTAAATTATTGTTGAAAATTGAGATCTTTTTGGTGTCCTTTTTCTTCCCCGTCTGTGTTGTGCACACATACACACAGCCATTTTAAAAAACTCTTATTTCAGAACCTGAAAGCCTACATCTCTTGTGCAGTTTATTTGTCCTTGCATGTTTTTTTCTTCTGTTTTTTTTTTTCAATGTGCTGTCAATTGTTTAATGAGAGCCGAAGCTGATGGAGGTAATTACATGTGATGACCCCCTCCTTTGTACGTACAGTAGAGGTGTAAAGTGTGTGTGATGCCTTTAAGACCCGTCACTGTGAAGCAGAGCCTCCCCTCAACCCTGTTGCTGATTTTCTTGTCATTGTCTGTGTTTGTCTTTATGTCTGTGTTCTCGCTGTCCACACAAGAGACCTTCTAGCGCACCTTAGACACACTCAATGTAGTGTGATGTGTTTATAGTATCACTATGCCTTTATTACTTTAGTATGGAAGAAGAGCTTGTTTCCAGGGCAACTGTAGCTTTGCCTGGGATAGGGATGACCATGGGAATTGATGTTACATTTCTAGCCCATGTTGCTAATTAAAAGCAATATCTGAAAAGAGAAGGCATGTTGTTTTCTTTTTTTTTTTCTTCAAAGTTAATCTTCTGCTCATTCCTTCTCTTTCTCTCCCTCCTCCCTTCTGTCCTTGCAGTGAATGACTTCACAGTGATCCGTAAAAAGTTCAAGTGCCCCTACTGCAGTTTCTCTGCTATGCACCAGTGCATCCTTAAGAGGCACATGCGCTCACACACCGGTGAGAGGCCCTATCCATGTGAAATCTGTGGCAAGAAGTTCACCAGACGGGAGCACATGAAGAGGCACACGCTGGTGAGTGCCATGTTGCAGTCATTGCACCATAGGAAGCGTCCTGTTACAAATATATCTATGTGTCTGTACATCATTTCATTATTCAATTAGTAAATCTAAAAAAAAAAATAAGTTCAGCAGTTATTTTCTGTTCATTTATAGATATCATCATAACTCTTTTTCAGCCACTTTTTGTTAGATATGTTTTCATGAGCGTGTTTCAGAGTCAGGTTGAGTATGGAAAATGTATTGCGGAGAAAAGGCAGAAGCGACAGGGATAACTGCAGCCTCAAAAAGACTATATATCATACTTTCTTTATTAGGCTTTTCCCACCAATATCTGAAAAACTCTGGTTTTCCCTGTTTCTTTCAACCCGTTTGCTGATCCAATTTTTCCTTCCTCTTAATTTTCCACCATTTATTGGATACCACACTCTTGGAACCTGCTGCTTCTTAAGCAATGACCTTTAATGGGTTACATAAGTTAATAGGTGACGTTTGTGGAGCAGCAACTGCTAGACAACTGTGAAGTCTTACTGTTAATAGTATATCCTTAGCAAAGATTAGGAGTTAAATGTATGCTTTATGAATTAGTCTCATGTTATATTAGAATTTTCAGATAAAAAAAAAGTATTTAATTACTTGTGAAAAATAACCTCATTTTTTTTTTTATTGAATCACTGAAATAATAACTTTTCAGTTAAACTCATATTTGTTTGAATGTACAATTATGCGTTATCCAAAGTGTGAATTAAAAACATGAAATTATGTGTCTTTGTTACACAGGTCCACAGCAAGGACAAGAAGTATGTGTGCAAGGTGTGCAGCCGGGTCTTCATGTCCGCAGCAAGCGTCGGGATCAAACATGGCTCCCGGCGGCACGGGGTCTGCGCAGACTGCTCAGGCAGGGGGATGGCTGCGCTGCTGGACCACAACGGGGAGACGGGTGGTGACATCTCCCCCGAGGAGGAGCTGTATCCAGGGGATCGGTTTCACGACGACCAGGCAGAGTGTGATGGCGACGGGGAGGGGGAGGAAGAGATGATGGTGGAAGGGGACAGTGAGATTTTGGGGGAAGGGGAGGAGGAGGCGGGGAAGTGGAAGGACTCAGGGATTGCCGCCGAGGCACACAGAGCACTGGACAATGAGAAGGAGGAGAGTGACTCCTCCGCTCATGAGGGGGAGCAGCAGAATGGGAGCGAGAAGGACTTCGCCTGGATCTCGTAGAACCTTTCAAGCCTCCTGTTTGTGGCTCATCAACCAATCTCTGGAGATCTTCTCTGATCTCTCAGGCAGATTCCTCTGCTCACTTTACCCACTCGCCCCACCCACTATGGGCAGGCCTTCCTTTGGAGATGCTGTAGGGTGATGCACGAAAATGATCGAAACACTCAAATGCACACACACACACACTTTCTCAAGCTTGACCGCCATAGAAGAAGAGTAATCAAGAGATGGCTTGAGTACAAGGCTTTTTTCCGCTTACCTCCTCCTCTACAGATGCAGTGTTTTTGTGTTTTTTTTCTTTCTTCTTCTTGAGGGTTCAGGCTGGAGTCCAGCTGTTTTCTGCTCTGTCACAACAGGAATCAGGCTGCCAAGGAGGTGGCCGGGGCTAGACTGCAACTTTGTATGTTTGCCATCACAATCATTGCAGAAACCAAGGATCATAGACAGAGTAAGGAGAGGACAGTCAGGAAAGAGGGGGTCTCAAAGCCAGAGTCTAAATCTATTGCAAAGATTGAGTGTCAGGGTGGGGGTCTGGGAACCCCCAAATGACAAATTTTTCCTTTTTGAGTCCTACTGCCACAGACTTGCACTTTAATGACAACTGACTCCTATCAAAGTCCTGAACCCGTGGTTTACATTTTTTGATCTGATATTTACTTACCTGAACAACTCGGTGACCGCACCTACCTTTAAGGATATACCTTATGTCCTCTCTGACTGTTATCGCCAGATAGAAATCACTGAATCTTTGTGCAGATTGCTGTTTATAGAGCCTATGCCTTTTTAGTGGGGGGTCCTTTATCTTTTCTTCTCTTAAGTTTGCTGCCTGGTTGCTATTGATCCATTCCAACAGAAACTGGAGATTTGTACATAAAGATGTAAAAGAAGGGCGAAAAGAAGGCCGTGTGAGACAAAGAGGGAGAGAGAATGAACTTTGCTCTTAGAAATTTGAGAGTTTGAGACGAGACGTTTCAGCTCCGAGAGTCAATGTGAGCACAGAGTGGAACTACCTTACACTAACAAACACTCTTTGTCTCTCACGCCGAAGTTTGTGATGATAGGACCTGAGAGGCAAGTCTCTCACACCTTTTTTTCCCCCCGTCCCTTGTTTCATTCTTTTTTATTTTAATTTATCCTTCCTCAGACTTGTACATTCAAGTTTCTCCACACGGAATATGCAGACACTTTTCACAATGAGCTTTTTTTTGTGCTTGAGTTTCTCCTGCTTTGTAAGGTGTGAAGAAAAAGGATCAATGTTGTGCTTGAAGTTCAGAGGTTTCAGTATTTGTATAAAATTTGATTTGTTATTTATTGAGAAAAAGTCTTTTCCTTTCTGTGTGTTTGCGTGTGTGATTGAATGAGGGTCCGGCGTCCAGAAAGAGTCTACACTGATTTATAAGATTATTTCTGATTTATTTTTTGTTTTGTTTGTTTTTCTTAGGGGGGTGGGGCAAAAGTTGTGGACAATTAAAGTGAGGTTGGTGATATATGTCTTAATATAATGAATATCAGAACTATGATTATTGTTGTTGATGTTGCTATTATTAATTATTCATATTAAGTGCTGGATGATAAGCTTTACTGTGTGTTTTTCTTTTATTTGATATTTTCTATCTTGTATAAAAGGAAAGCTTTTATACTTTTGCCTTGTTGTGGACAGCAAGCCATGGAGCTTTTTATCAATCTTTTATCGTGCTGGTTTATGCTTTATTTTTTTGTCATATTTCTTTATTTTAACTACTGGGGGAAAAAAACACATTCACTCTTCTGCTCCTCTCTTAGATATTGATTGAAATGGTTTTTTTCAGCTTATGCTTTTTACATCACTAATGTACACTAATTGATTAATACGGAACCAAAAAAAAAGAGAAAAAAAAATGTCATTCTAGTACTTTTGTATACATGAAGTGCTTTTGTTTCGCAGTTCGTGTTTAAACGAGTGCTTTTTGACTTTATAGCTGTGGTTAACATGTTTCGTTGTTGGGTTGTTTTTATATATTTTTTTTTTCACAAGCCTGTTGCTATCCCTTACAATCAGATTAAAAAAGTGCACATTTTTGTTTTGTTTTCTGTTTTATTCTTGTTCATTATGAAGGGCTGTGTAAGACGGCCGGCTTGCTTTTGCGGACTGCACCCTGAAAATCAAGCAGATGAGATCTTTATTTTATTCGTTCACAGTTCAAATAACACACAAGTACAGATTAACACTCCTCTTTTATGTGAGTGTGTGCAGTCTGGATCTCATTCTGCAATAAAGATAAAAAAAAATGGAAAGGAAATGCTGCAGCTGTGATGGTTAAACACATCAGGCTCTGTTGCAGGTGCCATGGACTGTACTGCTGGTCAAAAGAAGTTAAAAACACAGCACAACACGTGATGCTTTCTTCATTTATAACAGCTCTGTTATTCATTGTATTTTTGACCCATTTTTTAAACTGTTCTTTTTTGGGGGTTAAAAAAGACAATAGGGTAGAAATTTTGATGAATGTTAGTAATGGGTGGAAAAGGAGCCCATGATCAGAGACAAATCTGTCCTGTGGTGCTGTTATGGCCACTTAGAGACATCTGGATGTATGTTTGATTTCCTCCCGGAACCCCTCACCTTACACTTTACTCTCTTTTCACATGTGATGTATGTGCTCTTCCTCATTCCGGGTTGTACTTCAGGAAAACGTCCGCCATTGACCCCTTAATATGTGCCTCAATGACATTTTTTTCACCCGGGTGCTTGCGAGAGCGTCTGTGTGGAAAGATGAGAAAATAATGGTGTCTGTAGGTAGAGATTATCAAGACTTTTTTTTTTTTTTTCTCCAAACGAGACAAATCAGAAATGGGCAACTTCATCTTCCCCTATTTCCTCGACCTATCTGTGGTCCTAACTTGCATGTCTGTTTTCATTTTTTTCATACCAAAGCAACATCTTCTGCATCTGTGCACGGCGGCCTCATTCCACACAGTGCAAAACTGGAACTCTTTGCTCTTTTTGCAGATGAATATGGGTATTCTTTGACGTGTACAAACTGCAATCCTCATTCAGCCTGTATAGCTTGACTGACATGTGAAAATCCTGAAGCCATAGATATTGGTATATCTATATTCTACTATATTTCAAAAAAATGAAAAAATTGGCGCTTTTTACTTTAGAGTTTGTTCCTCTACTAAGAGTGATGTGTGTATACCTTCATATATATGGATTTATATTACTATTATATATTATTTATTTACTCTTTCAAGTTTCAAAAGGTCTTTTGTTTAAAAAAAAAAAAAAGGTCACACTTGAAGCTTGAGGTTTGTTTTTGTTGGGAATATTTGTTCAATATGATACTGACTTTATAATGATTATTATCATAATCCTGTGTTTGTAACAAAATGTGGTAAATAATCAGAAAAAAAAGAAAAAAAAAACTGTCCTGTTTTTACACCTGCTTTGTTTTTGGGCAGATTTAAGTGCTCTTGTGCTGATATATTATTTTGGTTGATAGTACTGATCACAGAACATTTCTTTTGCTGTCCTCCATAAGCCTTCTGTTTCGGTGTTGGGTCGAGACCGCAATTCGTCCAAGCCTCTTTCTAACTTCATGTTTAGTGGAAGAAATAGCTTACCTTTTATTTGCAAATCCAATCAGTCTCAATAAATTTTGAAATTGCTGCTGTAAAAACATTTACTTTGTGTCCAGTGCCTTCTTTATGTTTCCATTTTAGAAAGTGAGGTTGCCTTACTTCCTTCTGTCCACTTGGGGGCAGGCTAGACAAGTCAAAGAAAGCAAGGTGGAAGGAAAAGTCAATTAAAAAAATCCTTGTTTATTTCTATAGATTAGAGCCCACCTGTTGTAGCCAAAGATGAAAACTAAAAAAATAAATCAATTTAAAGGGAGAGAAAATTTCAAATCTTAGATTTCTGATCATTCATCTTAGTACAACGTCTCCTTGATCCTTTCAAATGATCTCCCCTCTCCAGCTAACCAGCATATAATATATAATCTGGGTCTAAGGACAGATTAATATGCTTGATAGTTAATTTCAACTCTGCATAAACAATTGCTGTAAAGACTTGCCCTCAAGTTTTAGATCAGTGTTTCCCAAACCTTTCTTGACTTGTATGGCTAGACCCAGGATAATTAGATCAGTTGATGTCTATACAACTAAAAAAATATTTTATGGGTTGTCTAAAAACAGTTTAATCAAATACATTTTCTAATCATCAGTGCCTTTATTTCATTATTAATACCAGGGAATACAATCATTAATACAAACAATCTAAAAGTAGTTTCAAGATCCAAAATATGCTTACACATTTAAATAAAAAATGTTTTTGGGTGAAAGTACTTTTTTCTAGTTATAGAAAGATGTAGGCCTTTTCTCAGCAGCAGCAAAGGGACGTGCATAAGCTGTCTAAGCTGGTTGGGCGAATTTATACCACTCTTGAATTATGGTCATAAGCTGAATTACTTAATTATTGCAAGGAATGTGAATGTACCACATGCCTCACTTTGAAAAATCCTGATACAGATAATACAAATGGAAAGGTATGTATCTATAGCACTAAAGTCAGAGGCCCCAAAAGTTAATTAAAATACATTCACCCATCCATGCACCCTTTCCAGATGCTTCCAGATGTAAACTAACCACAGCTGGTCTGGGGCAGACTGACAGAATAATAATAAAATACAGTAAATGTCCATTTTTATCTGTTAACAGCTTAAAAAAATAAACCTTATTATTGACGAACAAGATAAGATGGTCATTAAGTCATGTATGAAATGTAAAAGTCAAATCTAAACATTTAGCTTTTATTTACCATTTTTACATTCTATATAATAGTAAAGGAAACAAAGTCTAGAGACAAACTTTGACCGCGGTTTTCATTTTCCATGGTAAACTTGAAAAAAATTATCTAATCAAACTCAGGACTTTTCATGACTGCATTTTATATTATTTGAATTGGAATTTAATTTTAAGAACAAAATGTCACATTTTAATGTAATACCGTACAGTCGGATTTTTTTTTTGTCAAAGGTCTTAAGTCTCCCACAATAATGGGCTCAGAGACGTACAAACTGCTTAACATTTTTACGATAATTAAATAGTTAAATTTAGCTGTATTTTTTTTATTTTCATTGCAATAGTTTTGTTAGAATTGCTTTAATTATAATAAGAAAGAAGCTTTGAACACATCATTAAAAAAACAGATACCAGATGTCTTCCATTCAGGTTTATTTTTCTTTACCCTCACATTACATCACACAGATCACATTATAAGCATCATACATGTTCATCCATCATTTCCAAGCACTAGTCAAAGGCTTGACATTCACACAAGTACTCCTTGAACGCACCGCTGCTCAGAAAGTGTTTTCTCCGTGTGTCTCTGTGTGTTGGAGGGGGGGGACCCCTGACTAAGATCAGAAGCAGAGCCCATCCAAAACAGGAGAAATCTCCAGTCAAGACCTTAGGCTGACATCACGGTTTCTCCAAAAACTCATCCAGCTCCGAGTGTAGTCAGGCTGCTTAGTATGTTTTGCTTCCATCATCAGTCTAGAGTCCCTGGATACTGAGAGGGGAAATCTAAAACATAAAACCCTTCAGTGTTGTATCTCCAAACAAACACATAAATATGATAATAAAGAATATGAAAAGAATGAGCGATGCTAGACATGCACAACAACATCAAACTCAATCGGAAATCAATCGATTAGAGAAAAACAAAAAGCGTAAGGCTCAGTAAAAAGACAACACTGAAAGAAAATGGTCATTATAGGATGGGGTTTGACAAACGCCTGCACAGACAATACAAGCACTAGAAGGGGAGGTGTGGAGCTGCCATTGCAATGCAATATATGTGACTTAGAAGAAAAATATATTGTTTTTGCTGCTGTTTAGAGAAAAAAATGAAAATTGACATTCAAGAAAGCAGCACGCCAATTTGAACCTATTTGGAAAAACAAACAAACAGGTGTTTTGATGCACATTTCAAGGGTTTCGTTTAGCTTAATGTACTGGCTAAAGGCTTGGGTGGAACCACAGTGAAGCTGGATAGCACACAAAGAGAAGAGATGGGAGAAGAAATGCTGTGTCAAGAGATGAAGCGAGTGGAAAACACTAACAGCTTGCTGTTTGTTGGAATGTAGAGGGTAGGATATAGAAACCCCAAAAAGGTAACAACTTCCATTGTGACCAAAATGTTGAAAGCTATCCTGAATGAGCACAACTTCTTTTTACAACAAACAACAGTCATGACAACAACAAAAAATTACACAGACTCAAATGAAATTCCCCAGTAGGCCAAATAAAGGGGGCAAACTGGTTAGAATGGGAGCACAAATGTCACCGAAAAATTCATGAAAATTTTTTTTCCGCTGTAAATTGTCATTGCACAAAGATAGTAAAGCAATACTGCATGGTTGTGTTATTCCATATGATTTAACAGTGTGGCGACAGATGTAGGCATAAAGAAATAAGACAACAAAAAAGGACGCACAACAATCTCTCAAAATGGCTTAACTAGCCAGCAACTATCAGAAAACGACAAAATGATTTTTTTTTTAAAGTTGTACATTCAACAAGTTGTCATTTTTCTCCCCCTTGCCACTAAGGTACAAATACATTGAATCAGTTCACTATAGCTTTGCAATTGCCTTAAAAAAAAAAAAAAAAAAATTTAACACACAGAAAAATATTCTGAGCAACAACAATGTAAAAAAAAAAAAAAAAAGATATTTTCCTTTTCATATAACAGAGATACAACAAAACAACATGCGACAGCCTCACATATCTCTTTATGTCTTGCTATATGTACAAGGCCCTAAAACTGCAAATAGTCACTGCATGTTGTGAATGCGCTTCGCTGTTTCCTGCACACCCATCAGCAGTTAGTGTCAATCTCCATCCATCGGTTCACAAGGAAAATGTTAAAGAAAACTTTAGTTTAGACAAGAGATGAACCGATCGAGGTTTTCACAACAATAGAATTGTCCAATGTTTTTTTGACAGTCCGACCAGCCATACAATTTTGAAAGAACACTTCTTTTTGACCAAAAATAGTGAACATCTTAGGTTTTATGTATTTAAAATATAAAAACATGTTTTTTCCCTTCATTGCAGGAAATCAGGGACAATAGTTAGATTCTTTTATCGCTATTCGATTGGTGCATCTCTTGCTTCAAAGCAAATGATTTCTAGAAAAGATATTCCTTTATCGGGGACTGGTGTGGCTTGTGGAACTGACCGGTCAGTCACTTTTCAGGGTATACAGTGGCAGTTATTTGCTTGAATGTCACCCAGCACAAATTTAAATGGTCCAAATGTAAAATTCCCATTGCAAAATTTGCATGTGCAGTATAGCATAAGTCAGTCCAGTCTAAGAATTTAAGATATCAAACCAGGGATAAATAATGCAGCCCAAAAGCCTTTTAAACCTGTATAACAGCCTTTTGCTACAGAACCACATTGGAAGTTATAAATCAGACAGAAACTTCAATTCTGTTGCAGAGAACATTCATACTTACAAATCTCTGGGCAACTTAAAAACTGTCTGGGATACCACTGAAGAAAAATGCCTCATTCTTTTGTCTCCCTAAACTGTGGTACCCTGGGCAGTGAGTCATATTGCTCATGACAAGAACCGCCACTAAGTAGAACAGCAGGGACTAAATAAACTCTAAATGGGTCCTATTCACTTGCAAACCAAAGCTCTAAACACATAAACCTGCTGGTCTTAAAATGTGGGATGGAGAGACCTAGTGGGTGGCTTTTGATAACCAAATGTGCTGAAGTAAAAAGTGGCATCCAGCACTAATAATATATACATACATAACCTTAGTAAAATGTCAAAAAACAGGAACATTTCTTTATATGAAAGGAAGCAAATTGCAGCAGTGTTTGTTTAAAAAAAAGCACGTGAACATTGGGAAAAAAGAAAAACTCCAGACAGTGAACACTTAAAGCCATCTTCAGTTATCAGGACGATAAGTAGCTACGTACAGAAACTGGTGTTTTCTCATCGCTGCGACGAGGCTGGAACTGCTTCCAGTCCAAAGCGCTCATCCGACAAAAGGCAAAAAGACCAACGACTGCAGAGTACCACACTGTACTTCCAGTACCACACACCTACAACTGTCAGCGACGCAGCCTTTAGTACATCTGATACAGAGCGTGAGATTATCTGTAAAAATAACCGGGCAATATTGGGAAACCCCTTGGAGGGATTCTCCACCCTTTTTTTGTTTTGTTTATTTCATCAGACTCTTACAAACAAAAGACCCTTTCACTTAATAATCTGTAAATACAAAACTTCCATGTATAAAAACATGTCTATGCGCAGTACAGCGTAGTGCAATTTTTAGCAAAGGTCAGAATACCTTTTCCTTTATATTTTAACTTTTATTGGCACTTGGTGAATTTGGTGACTGGAAGAGGCCTGCTGACCTAGCTTATCTGGAACACAACTGATATATATATATAAAAGGTTTACACAGAGCATCACGAGGGTATGAACTGTGACTATTTTTTCTTAATGTTTGCTTCAGCTCTCACTGATAATCTAACAAAGGTCTTTTTTTTCTCCTTGCAGCTCATCTAATACTAGGGAAAAAAGATGTGCCTTTAAGGTGACAAGAGGTTTGATGTTGCACTTCACTGTCAGTCAAAACCAGGATAAAACTAGACCTATCAAACATAGAACTCGTCATCTGGGATGTTCTGCTACTAAGACCTGGTTAGCTGACTGTCTGAAGCACTTGACGAATAAAAGACATGCAGCAGAATCTGTGATAGGAAGGCGGCTAATGTGCAGCATAAATGTCTCTATAAATTTACATCTACTGACACGACTGCGTCTCTGCAAACACCTTGAAAGATCACACAAAGAAAAAGATTTTTGTATTTTCATATCTAAATCAAAGCTCTGAAGAAGGGGGTTGGGTGGGTTGTGTAATTTCTACACACTTTAAAGCCACATTGGCTACTTAAAGATTTAAGGACTACAGGAATAAATAGTTCATCAGTTCATTCTTCTGTTTTTCTCAGAATTAGAGTATCAATTAAAAGAAAGAGGATAAAAAGAAAAAGAGTATTTTCTTACACAAGTTGAAAACTGATTGAGCCAACTCATGGGAAATCTACAAAGCATAAGAAAATACAGATTAAACTATTCTGTAAGGATTTGGATTGCTACTAGATTCTAAGATTTTTCTTGTTTGGTATTAAAGGTGTTCTATCCACATTTAAATGCCAATTGTAAGTGCTTTTTTTCCCATTTTACTTAAGAGATAAAAAAAAAGATTTTAAAGAGGTGGACAGCATTTTTTTATATTAGCAAATAAGTTTCTTTGTGCTGGATTTCTATTTAAAAAAGAATCGGGGAGCAAAATGTGATATAAAATCAACTATTTTCAATGTACATATTACTAAATACATTTACCATCTGTTGTTTATCTACACTTTGTAAAAACCTGCCCATATTTTCGTCATCTCAGACATTTAAAATCTTTATTCTAAACAAGTAAGACTGTTTTAGTAAAAAAAAATTAAACTCTTGCAAAACCCACCTCTGCAAGATGGTGTTTACAGCTGATGTAATGCTGGTTGACAGTTATTGTAAGAGATGCACCGGATAATAAATCGGCTGGTGAGTGGAAATGGATCCTTTTCAGCTTTAACTGCTGATTTAAATCCTGACTTCAAAAGTAAGATCAGCAGATCGACTGCTGGGGATTTTAACCAGGTTAAACAGATGACAACACACTTCAGTGTGGAGGTTATAGCTGAGTGAAGATATTAGTAATTTTGGAAAGATGTTCAGAAACAAAATGAGCAGGTCATTGTATAGTATTTGCAACTTTTTAAGTAAATCAAATTAATCCATCTCTTTTGATTGGAAAAGAATAATACACAGAAAAGTTGCTCAATTTGATAAGTTGGAGCTTTCAACCTGTGACTCTAATGAAATTTTTTTATTTTGCTGTTCATTAGTAAAAATCGGTTTTTAAACTTAAAAATGTATGACATAAATATAATCATTTTCAATGCTTTTGTATTAAAAAAATTCTCAGAGAACTAAAATTTTATATCTATCTGGGCAGTTTGAAGCTCTACGAAAACTTGAGTTTGGAAACCAGCAACAAAGCGTTGCACCGATGCATCTCTGCTTACTATAAAACCTACAAACCAGCTTATTGCAGAAAACTGTAAGAGATGGGTCTATAAATCAAGATGTTTAGAATACAATCTCTACGTTTTCTTTTTGAATTCAGAGTTATCAGTCCGACTGGGGCAGTTACAATTAACATACGGTGGGCAACAATCTTTTGAAAAACAGCTGTAGCTGTTTAAAAGAAGCATTTCTGCTTCAACTCATGACTAAAAACAACATAGCAAGAAAAACCTAAATGCTGTCATTCCTCTGATTGCACCATGCAAATGCAAGTTGATTCAGCTGCTTACTGCTGAAAATAAACTACATAGGTAATATATATACTACTCTCTGGGGCAAACCGGGGTTACAGTGATACTTTAAAAGATAATGCATGTATAAAAGGATGGGGCATATTTGCTTAATAAACTGTGTGCATCTTTCCAAAATATTTTGGGAAGTCAAAGGAGAACTCTGTACCACGCGTTGTGAATGATTTAGTGCAGTTATGCTGATCTAAAAAAAGTGTAGCAGGCTGTTAGAAATCAGCCAAATGAATACATTGTCTGTTGCTAAGCTGAGTATTCAATTTGCAGTCTAGATTTCCAGTAAAAAGGCAGAGCACAGTGTTGTTAGATCTTATTTTAAAACTGATAACTGTAACTTGAGAATCTGGCAATTTGATGCAGACCCCTAAAAGGTGACGATGAGAAACAGATCCGCTACAGTGATTTCAATGAGCACATCCATTGTTAACCGTTTAACCTCAGAGAAGAGCCACGGCCCATCAAATAAAAAGTAGCTTACATAATGCTCTTACAAGGGTATAACAAAAAGCTTATTTGTACTCTTCAAACTCTGTTTTGAGTTTAGGAAGTGGGGAAAAAAACAAAAATCTGATCAGCATTAAATTTGTTTTCCTTATTTGACCGTGAGTGACTGTCTTAGAAAACATCTCCAGAAGTGGATAAAGTTATTCTTTTCTCATTGTGATGGGGAACAGAAAAGAAATAAGGCAACTCTTTCTCCCAGCTGGTCCAGAGGAAGCAGCACTGAGAACTTTGCCCTCCTCTTCTCTGTGGTAAAAAAAAAAAAAAAAGAAAAAGAAAAGAAAGAAGTCAACCTCGCTGTCACTGCGAGCGAGGAGGAGCTCGTCTCCCAGAACCAGTGGAAGGCAACTGGATTAGTCGGTAAATCTCTGACAGGCTTTTTTCCATCGACAGGCTGTGCACCACATGTCTCTCTTCTCCATGCCGTACACCTTTCGGCACTTCTTAGCTTCCCCACGGGGTTTCCTTGGAAACAGCAAATGTGACAGTGTAAGGACAAGCACAAACACACCTTCTGTTCACAGACAGACCAAAAAAAATAAATAAAATCCAAAACAACACCAATAACAAAAACAACAACATGCATATTTAATACTCGAAAATGCAACCACATCTGCATGACATCATAAAACACCAGGACTTTCTTGTTACAGTTTAAAACAAGATATTTTAGTTTTTTCCTCAACAATCCACGTGGTTTTCGAGTGGTCGTTTCGATCCCATAGTGAAACACAGTTTAATAAATGTAAAGACCATTGGTTCAGTAGAACCAATAAATGCTGAATTAACAAGATAATAACATTATTAAGTGCATTATTATCATTCAGATCTTTCATTCCTCATTAATTTTTTTTATTGAATTTAATAAATCACTATATTGTCAGTGGATGCTTATTCATAAACTAACTGGACTAGAATCAGGGACAAAAACATCCTGAATGGGACACCCATAATTCAAAGGTGTAGCTCAACCCAATAGAGCTGGGAGCAGCTTTAAATGACAAATGAAATTTTAATGAGGAAAAAGCCTTTTTCTAGATGACTTAATTGCAGATTGTATGAATAAGGCTTCTATATATATATATATATATATATATATATATATATATATATATATATATATACAACAAAATCTAACTACATCGACTGTCATGACAATCACTATAACTGTCAACTTTACTTTGATACATTGAAGTGATCATCAAAACTCAGTTAATTCAACCCAGTTTAACAGTAAAATGCTAGACATATGAAGGTGACCACTACAAACCTGGTTCCTGGTGCTGATTTAGTTGCCGGTGTTATTAAAGCGTGGTTCTTGTTAACAGGGGTGTGCGTGCTGGTTGCTGGCTGCCGCTTTTCACCGATGCTAACGGTGCGAACATGTGTCACAGGGCCCTGCACATATGGTAAAACATAGAATTAGTAAGGCAGAGACACAAAGAGGTCTCACAGCATCTGGTTTTATTGGGGAACAAAAATGATAAATATCAAGTGTATAATTATGATACATGTCCCGTTGAGACTGAGAGCATGTGAAGGAACATTTCTGTGTTAGTAAAGATCTTGGAGCAAGTTTATGCAACGATGTTTAGAATACAATATGATATCACTACTTCCTTTTTATAGCTTTTTTGCTTTTTATCAACAATTAAATTAAGTTTATTTATATAGAGCCAATTCACAACACATTTCATCTTTACAGAGACAATTCATCCGGATAGTACAGTCATTGTTTCAAACTTTTCTATCTGAGGTAAACCAGCTGATTGCATCGACTCATTAATTCGAAAGAAATCCCTCACACCAAGCATGCTTATAGCGACAGTGGAGAGGAAAAGTCCCTTTTAACAGGAACCACCAGCAGAACCAGGCGTGGTGTGAGCGGCCATCTGTCGAGGCCGACCACACAGACCTTGATTCAGAATAAGCCTTTCTTCAATTTAGTTTAACTTACACAATGGTTTAAATGTATAATTCCTATATAGAATCTAATTCTGGGTTTTAATGGGTGATTCAATTAGAAATAATAGCAACACCTTGCAAATAAGAGGGCCACAAAAATTGGCAAATATAGCTACTTCAGGGCAGCAAGAACTGATCAAAAACACACTTAGCAAAATGGACTGGAATGACTGAGTGGAAACTGCAGGGAGGAAGTGAAGATTAAGATTAAAAGGTGTGAGACAAAGCCTCACTCACCAGGGCGCCTTTAAAAATGACAGGAGGGGGCTGCCAAGACACACTGATGCCATTCCCAGTCCCAGTTCCAGGCCCGATCCCATTACCACTGCCTATCCCAGCCAGCTCAGGACCCACTGGGATACTCACTGGAGCGGTGGCCTGGAACGTGGACAACCAACCCACACAGCCAGGACGCGAACACAAAAGAAACAAGGAGGGACAGGAAATTTGCAGGGGAAAAACAGATGGAAGGAGAACAGAGTGGAAACAGATTATACAGTTAGTGGGAAGCCATTTATTCCAGCTTTACACTTTACTGTTGCTTTTTTGTAAGAATATTCAAATAATTTTAAAAACATGTTAGAATTCTGAATGTTGGACAGAAAATGTTCTACCGAAGCAGTCGCAAAACAACCCAATAGCTATTTTTACATGTTTTTTTTTTTTGGTTTTTTTATGGAAAAAAGTTTATTCCTGATTGAAAAAGACTGCGTTCAACAAACATAGCAGAAAATATTTATTTTACCTTATTCTACATGTAAAGAAGTGTTGCAGTAAAATGAAAAGAAAGAAAAATATTAGAAATACGCAGAAGAAGAGGACGGAGGTACAAAAACTAAGATGCAACAAGTAGGAAATGGGCATTTCATTGCCATCTATTTTTTCTGATTTCAATTCTAACTAAACTTTGAAAACACTTTCTGAGTTTGTTTCTATCACAGCTAAGCTGCCACATCTATGCTAGAGCTGCTCATCTTTTTTAGTCTAACTCACTGATCTATTCGACTTTCTCTCCATATGAAAGGAATCCAATACAACAGTATGTGTGGGAATTACCTGGTAGGCGTGGTCGGTACGGATGTGGCAGAGGGCGGAGGGAGCCGACTGACTGAGCAGTGATGAGAGGTTGCCCTGGGAACCGTTCACACTGACGTACTCAGTACGGGACACGTCGCTCAGTGGCAGGGGGAAGATGGGCGGTGGACCGGCCGTGGTGGGAGAGGTAGGCGTGAGGCTGGACAGGCCCTCTGTTAGGCTGTCCATGTTGACTTCAATCTCTGAGTAGTAAAAGTCCTCCTCTCCATCGCTGTAATCTGAGTCACTGTTTCGCCTGCAGATAAAAGCAGTTAGAGCTTTTAACCACATAAAACCCAAAATATGTTCTAAAAACTTCTTTATTTCCCCAAACCTGGGAGCTACATAATGGGGTTTTGGGGAATACTGGTTGTAATATTATGGTGCCCTGACTAAAATATTTGCTTCAACAAACTACACCACCTTTGTCTTTCCTTCTCTCGCATTTCATGTTTGCTCACTGGGTAATTATTTACTTTTTTCACCCTTCTCTTTTGCTGATACTCTAAATTTCTTCTCCTTTGCTCTTGAACAGACAGTTTTTGTCTAGCCATGCTTATCTGCAATACAAATGAGAGCAAGGAAAAATATTCTAAATTTAAAGTGTAAAATCCAATTCTTAATTAATTGACTTCTGACATTTATTAACTTATTTATGTAAAATCCAAAAGTTGGTCTTTTTTTTTCTTCTTTTTTTTTTTACAGCAGAAACAGTAGCTACTTAAGAGCGGTTACCCTTCAATTTAACATTTATTTTCTCGAATATACATTAACAAAGTATATACATTTGCAACTTAACTAAATAAATAATGAAATTATATGAATACTAAAAACATTTCAGAGTAAAAAGCAGTCCACAACTTGTCCTTGTTCAACTAGTCCATTAGAGGTGTAATAGATCAAGTATAAGGTTAAATAAAAAAAATAATAAATTTTTATTTTTTCCATGTTCACACATAAAGTTATATTTGTGTGCTAAAAGATTTTGATTGGATTTGTCAACTCTGACTTGCAGAGAATTTGACGGAGTTAATGTCTGACGGAGTTGACAAAAAGGCAAGTTTTTTCCCACCAAGCTACTGACTAAACAGCTAGTTGATCTTTTTTCCACTTGCTAGCTGCCCCAGTAGTCTCAAACAATCATTCAACATCAGTCCACAAAAGTTACATTTATTTCTCAAAATCATTAGATGATTTTGACATGTTCCAGCTGTAAAAATTAAAGTATTAACATTGTTTGTTTAAAATATCTAAAAAAATAAAATAAAATTATCAGACCATATGTATTTATGTTGAACACAGCAAAGAAAGGTAGCAGAGGACTTTCCTTATGGAAACTGCAGGCTATGCGATTTCCTGATTTAGCAAGAATTTTGAAAGAAATGACGGAGTTGATGGAAATTGAGGACACAACTTTGACAGAAAGATTTATAGGTGAAATAATCTTTAAAATTAAATGTATGGTGTTTTTTTAATTAATTTTTATTTGTCAGAAATAATCTCTTGTCTTACTTGGCACAGTTATTGAGCATCTTAGAGTTTTTCTGGGTTGGCCAATATAGTGACCTCTATAGGACGCATCAATTTATACGACCATTTTAACTATAGAACATTAAATTTGAATTCCCCACAAAATAGTTTTAAAAGTTGGCTAAAAACGACTTTGGTATGTACTGCTCCTTCACATATAACTTTTTAGTTATGTAGATCATGTTGAAATGTATAGATTTTTAAAAAGGAAAAAGCTTTCTTCAAATGACATGTTTTGCCCCGATTCTCAAGATACAAATTCATTTTCTCAGCAGCAGGGGGCAGTAATATCCTACAATCAAATCCTGACTCATACAAACTGTGATTGAAGGAAAACATTATTTCTTAGAGTTTCAGCAAAATACTCTAAACAACACCAGATATGTGAATAATAATAAAAATCCCTTGATGTCTTTAACCATTATAACAATTATAACTGGCCTTAATTTATCAGAATATGATATGTTTGACTGTCTCAAAAACAACAGAGATCCAACAGACAATTTTAGAATCAGACAATTACAACAAGACTTCTCTGATCAGTAAATGAAAATAAAAACACAAATAAAAATTAGGAATAGCACTGCACCGCATTAGAAAATGATCCAATGACAGAAAAGAAACTAAAATGACCACATATGACACTCCTTTCTTACTTTATGTGTCACTTTATTTAGCATCCTCTGGACTTTGATCTACTTCAGACTCAACCAAACATGATAAAATACGGAGAATGTAAAATTGTTATGCTTGGTATACATTGGGAAACAATAGTTTAAATATAAAATGATAACCTCTAGATTTTCCTCCTTTATCACCCTTACTATACAAAACAACAGAAACAAAAAACTGAAATCTGTATTGTCCAGAAAAGGCCTGATATTTTAGTCTTTAGAAAATGTACATTTTAAAGGATTTCCTTCAAAGGATCCTGAGTTAAGTTGGAGACACACTGCAAGGCTTTAATAGTCTTTACAGATCTTGAAAAGGCTTAGGTACACGCTAACAGGTTTTAGCAGGTCTTCATGTAGACAGAGGGAGCTCATACTGCATGATTTGTTAAAGCAACCAAAGCCAGCTGAACAAATCATACTCTTTTGAGAGTAACAGTTTAACAGAAGGTTGGTCATACTAGCTTTACAACTGCATCTAGACATGGCCCCAGAAAATTCAAACATGTTTTGCTTTTTTTACTTTGGCTGCGATTAATTGAGGTCTATTCGGATTTAAGCCAACTACTCACGCCAAAGGTCCCCATATGATGATCTTCACCAGCCTAGTTTAGACTGGTGTAGAACATATCCAATGGGGATTTAGGTAGAGAATCTTACAATTTGTCTTTGATTTAAGTAAGTCTACAGATCTAACCATGTAGGATTGCAAAATCAATCAAAATCCTACGATGCTAAATGTCAGAATAAACAAGTACCTATATTTCATTTCTAAATAGAAAGGTATCCATTGGAAATAAGAACTCATGTCTTAGAGAGCCTACATCAGTACAGGTCTATCATCATTATTATTATTATAACAGATATGGTCAATTTAACTGTTAGAGAGAAATATTTCTGTTTTAAGGTTTTCTTATGCTATCTTGATGAATTAATTAGTTTTCAGGTGGGAAAATTGATGCGGTTTAAAAAAAAAAAAAACTGCTAATTTGAAATAGTTTTGTTTTCTGTTTTACATAAACGTGTAATTTTCCCTTTTCTGGGGTTTTCATGTAGTGGTGTAAATAAGTGCATGAAATTCAGAATTGTGGTTAAAAAAGCCCTTTTATCTGTCCTCTTTGTTTCTCATCCATTTATCCATCCATCCATCCTGTTTGATATTTTTAGTGTGTAGATTAACAGGACATGATGTTTCAGCTGTTTGCAAGAAGCAGAATTAAATAGTAGAATGATACTGTTTATATTAGAAAAACTGTTACAGTAAAAAACAAAAAACATGCCACAACAAAGCTTCTTTAAACTCTTAAGCTCTACAGCTCTTTTTAAGGTTTCTACTCGAAAATGACATACCCAAAGTATATCTCTGCATAGATCTCTACAAGGTCTATTTGAGTAATTTTGGTGTTATTAACCCAGAGTAAATTAAGATGAAACTCAAGAAAAGATGACTGATTTAACTTCCGCCTAAAAAAAACCCTCAGTTTTTCAATGAATCTCTTTAAAATGATGCAGATGGAGGTTAAAATCTATATCCAAGCATTGCACAATGTGTGACCATTTTCTCTGCAAAGATTGATCCTTATGAAGTAAAGCAGAGCTAATTTACAGAGGTTTTAGTACAGACTATTCAGGCAGACTTTCCAAAATGGCCATCTTGGCACATTTTGACACCACCTGTGCCATTTGAGGTTTTTAATGTACTTGTACTATACATTTCACTTTCATGCCATTATTGATGATCCTCACATGCATTTTCAACAGTTTTTTTTCTTCTTTTTTTTCACCGCGTGTGTCATCTCGCGTAAAGTAAGCCTCGGCCATTTTCGGACCAGCTCAATACGCAGGCTAATATCTCTGCAGTGGATTGGCCGATTTGGATAATTGAAATCTTGTTTGAACCGTTAAAGCCAATAGAATGTCGAGGTCACACTGAAATTTGTGTCAGACACAGGATTAGCTAACTAACAGGAAGCAAATGTATCAAATGCGAAACAAACTTATGTTCGTCCAATAGGAAGTCTCCTAGTAAAAAATGTGAAGTTAGATTGAAGTTGGTAAGAGTTGAAAATGAACGGAAGCATGTTGGACTTAATAAATCCAGCGTTTGTTTTTAGTTTTTTTTTTACTTTCAATTACAAGTCTTCTTCACATAATTGCAAAGGTAAGACAGAATTTCTGTTAGTAATTTAAAGTAAGCAGTTGTTTATGTTTGTATTCTTTGGCTGCTGGTTCACTGAGTTTTTGTCGTAGAGAAGTAATAGTGGTACTGTTGAAATCATCTGGATCTTAGCTTTCATATGTGTTCATCTACCATGAAGTATCAGAAAGGTAGCGATGGAAATGTGCAGAGAGGGTGGATGCTCTGACGTTATTTAGATTTTCATAATTAAACATCAATATGCTTGGTGTTTGGGTTGTGTTTGGTGAATGTTAAAATGACTTATATGTGCTTGTAGCAGAGTTTCTCCTGTTTAATTTGATGTATGGTATGGCTACATTGGTACATAATTAGTGCAGCATTGTGCATCTTTTGGTGCAGTGAGTCTAAAGGTCCCCCAATTAGAGGACCTTGGAGTTCAAGAGGTCAAGAAGTCATATTGTTGCATAGTCAGGATACATGCATGTGGGTGTGTGCAGCAATGCAGTAAGGGTGAAAACTGTAGTGAAAGATATAGTTATGATAAGGTCGGAGGGAGGGGGGAAACAAAGCTATAATCTAATGCATTGTTATCTAATAAAAAAAATAAATAGATTATATTTTGCAGGCCTAATGAAATGAATAGCTAAAGGTGAAGTGTGATTCTAAAGACATACCCCAGGTGGACGGTGCGGATATGTCGCTGGATCCCTGAGGAGGTGCTGAGGACCTTTTCACAGTTCTTCCACAAGCACTTAAACATCACCTTCATGGAGTTCTGAAGACAAAAGGGAAATTTGGCACAAAAATATAACAAATGTTTATCATTGCATGGGTGCCTATAGGTTAACATAATAAAAATAACTTTCGTGATGCAAAAAAACGCCCTATGACATCTGCACATTATCAAATAGATAGGAAAAAAAAAAGATCTGTAGTTTACTCAGAAAAAGAAATAGAAAACCATCTCACAAATTCTAATTTTTTAGATCTATGAGCTGATTTTTAGTGAATTGGTGACGGATTTTCAAATTTCCACAGATTTATTTTAACTGTCGATAGGTGGGAGAAATACAACCCGTTCTAAATGCATCACACTTCCAACCTTTCTTATTTTTCCTTTTATATGCTGGGTGGGTTTATACACTTGTACATCCGTTAAACAATCTGCAACACAGTTTTCTTTTTTATCAGTTAATAGTTCATAAAAAAAAAACAGTTCATTATTCAAATAATTGGAACCTGAGATGACGGAAAAGTTTCGATGTAGGTACTTTCCAAGAGAAGACCGATTGCTGTATCTCTGCTTTTTGAGCAATAAGACTATAAAACCAGAAGTTCTACATGTAACATCAGTAATTTAGGACAAAAAATAAGCTCAAATGAACCCAACAAAGTTTTCACAAGATGATGAGATGCACTACCCTGGAAAGTATTTGCTGATAATTTCAGTCCCAAGGAAAACGTCAATATTGTTAAACACACTATTAAAGATCTCTCTCTGAAATGATTCACGTCAAGTCCTCCTGCTTACATCAGATTTATTACAAAAAAAACACATAATGCTCCTGCTTGACTCATAAGCAAGCCGTAACGGAGAGATGGAATACATGTGGTTTGATTTCATTTCATTTTCTTATCCACATGCCAGGGCTGGCAGCAGTCCCTTGAGCAAGTAGAGACCTGCATCTCAGCTAATGAAAGATTGTGGGTGTATGCTCTCTCTTTGTGCTGAAACAATCCATAGCAAGTGAAAAAAAAAAATCTAAAATAGAAAGAGCAATGGAACATCTTTAAATCAAGAGTTAAATTTCCCATCATGTTTTCCCTCCTCCTGTTTAAAAGCAACAAACTTTATTGCTTTGATAAGTGTTTGCCAACTGCTGCTAACCTGCTAACTCCTGTTTAAAGGAAAATTGAAAATGGCAAAAGCTGGAGTTTAATCCCTCGTAAAATTACAAATCACTTAAGAAAGTTCAAAATATTGACAGTCAAACTTGTAATGGCCATATAAATCTATCCTCTGAAGTCACTGCAAAAGTCAGAAAACCTACTGCTGCTCTCAAATTGTTTGAAACAGGCACATGTTCTCATCATATCCCTGATCTGATCATAAATGAAAACTCATAAACAGATCTCAGTGACTTGCCTAAAGTTTATAGATGACACCATTGTTATTGGTCTGTATAGGATAGTGGAGAGATGCAGGTGGACTTCTTGGAATACACCCACATTTCATCCCTTCAACATCCCTATTAATATTAAGTCTACCGTGGATCCCTTCCGGTTACTAGTAACCACCATTGTTCTCTGCACCTCCGACGGTCCTCAAACATAGTGTTGAAAAGAAAGACCCGTTAAGACTGCACCTAATGCAGCAAAAAAGAAATACAATCTTTAATAGGAGCTGCTAGTCATCTTATACACAGCCGTCATTCAGTCTCCTTTGCGTACATGATTTACCACTGTGATTTAACTAATCCATAAAACAGAACTGGTCCTATTACAATGAACAATTAGTTTTGCAGAGAGGACTTTCTTATATTTTTATATTGGGAATATCTCCTTCAAGAGCAAAGGGAACTAAAGTCACATTTCTGGTTTGTATGCAAAAACGTGGCGAAGACAACTGAACCTGATTATTTTTCAAACATTTAATTGTTGCGTTTGAGAACAGCTGCAATTTGAGTAACCAAAAGAGAAAATAAAACAAGTGCAAGTAGCCCGAACCCTCCAGAGTCGAGGTGACGTGCAGAACATGCATCACTTAAAACCTCACCAGCGTCTGGAATGGTCAGCCTGCTGTTAATGACCTTGACCCTGCCTAACAGGGATCTCAGGGCTCTGGAAGCATGCCAGTCAGGAAAGTGACATCTTTAGGTTTTTTTATTATGGTTCTAAATGATCCTATGCATTACAAAGAAAAATAAGAGTGCTGCAAATATGCCATGCATGCAGCACTCCAAAGAGCAAATTTAATTTTTTGTTGCTTGATGAACAACAGCTAGCTGGTTGAAAACTAAAATATATGATCTCTTTTTCCTGTGTTCCCTGAAAATATAGATGAGGGTAACCTGACATTAGCTGAGGACACTTTCAGCTGTGGACAATTGCTACTGAGTTAATGAGGCTCAAACTGTTAGGAGATTCAGGGGGCAGTAGAGCAAGAGAGCAGCACTTTCTATAGGTAACAGGAAGGCTCCAAGTATAAAAGCAGAGTTCCTCTGCTTTTGGGTGGCATGTAGAGCAGTGGTACAGCTGGTAAGACTTTCCTGAATATCTTCTCATGCTGTGTACAGTAGGTCCTCAATACCAAGATATACCAAAAAACATTATCTTTTTTAACCTTCTGAGCTTTTTCTCTGATGAAACATGATGGATTTGGAAATGTCCCAAATTAAACCACTTCATCTTTCGTTACTTTTTTTTTTTTTGCAATGAGTAAAATAGGTAGGATTCATTAAAAAATAGCTAAAAGTTGCTTTATAGAGTTGTGCACCAAGGACCTATTTTCAGATGCAGTCACCTTTTTGCTTTACATTCAATCCTACTGTGAAAGAATAACATAAGCTTTACATCTTCTAAAGGATAACTGTTTTTCTCTGTATTTGGATTTTTTCTATTTTTCCAAAATAAGTAACATTAAAATTAATAGTTCGAAAAGAAATAGTTAAATAATTACACAAACAAATATCCTTTCAAAAAATGATTGATTCTGATTGTAATTTTAAGCATCATAAAATCACAAGAAGAAGCTGAATAGATAGAGGATGACCTGATTTATTTTGATGTCTTGTGAGTCCAAGACGTGATAGTAATGGTGGTTATTTTGTGAGATACCTTTTGGAAAAGTAATGATAGGAAGTCATTCTCTATCTAAGAGCATGACTGCTTATCTAAAGAAAGTAATAGATTTGGCAGCATGGTCTCAGAAATCCAACTATCATACAAATATGTATATATATTTACAAGCTCAACATTAAGCATTGCTGCTTCAGTTCATAGAGAATGAAAGGAAAAACTCCCCCACAAATTAATGGTGCATGAGCTTTCTGCTAGGAGCAATATAAAGAGATTAATTTCCCCTCCTGCAGCTGTCTTTCGCATCAGTTCTTCTTTTCCCTCATAACACACTCCAACTGCCCTTTTTAATCACATGTCAAAACCTCTTCAGAAAATTGAACTCTTCCTTCTTGCTGAAGCTTCCCGATTTTTCCGCTGATAGGTCTAGAAACAGTTGGAAAGCTTATTTACATCAAAAACACAGGACTGTTTTGTTAGAAAAAAAAAAAAGAAAGTGAAGGCAAAGAGATAAATTACTAATTATTACAAGAAGTTTTCTGCTGTTTAAAATGAACAAATTTCTCTTTAGAAGACTAAAACCTCAAAATTCAAACATCAAATTGAAACTTAGAGAATGTTTGTCATGTTAGATAAAGATATAAGGATTTTTACCTTTCGTTTGCGGGGAATGGGGTCCTCAAACATAAAATGTGTGCTCTCTGAGACATCCTCATTTGCATCATCTCCCTGGGCTGAGTGCAGAAAGCTCTGATTGGCATCTTTGGAGAGAGGTGGAGAAGGTGTGGAGGGCACCGAATGGTCACTGGCATCCCAGCTCCAGTTACCGCTTGTTGAGCTGCTGTAACTCGCAGAAAGCACATCTTTCCATGGTTTGCTGACTGGTTCTGGTTGTACAAAATAAAGAAAGAGATGAAGATCCACAAAAACCCATTTCACAACTATATCTTTTTGTTCCTTAAATTTGTGCATAAATAATGTTTTTCTTTGTTTTTTGTTGTTGGTGTTCTTTTGTTAATCAAAGATCACATCATTTCCACAGTCCAGTCATAGTTCTACCTTAGTTTTACCTTTAGAACAAATTTAATAACACAAAATGAGATTAACAGAGCCCTGCGATGGACTGGCGATCTGACTTTCACCACAGACTGCTGCTGATAGATACCAGCCCCCCGTTGACCCTGACAGATAAGCGGCAGAAGATGGATGGACGGGATTAACAGATATAGTACAGCTTAGTCTCTACTTCCAAGTACAACATCTAGCTGTGTCACAGATCATATGATTTTTTTTTTTACCGTTCATTATATTACACTGAAAGTATGAAGTTGTGTAATAAATACTCATATGAACAGTTTTTTTTTTTAAACACACCTGTGTAAACTACTCTCCACATGCATCTTGAACATTTAATACCATGAGCCTCCAATATATCACAAGCGTGAGTCATGCTCCTCCTCTGCTTTTTATGCACCTGTAGCTTCCCTCCTACTATACAGACCTGTTTCTAAATGCTCATGTCACATTTTGTTACTTTGAGGGTGGAGCCAAACTGAATAGTATGCCGACTGTGGCCGACTACTTTTCAGGAAATCCCAACTCTGCTTTTTTTTTTTACAAGTCACATTGACAAAGTTTCTTTGGGCTCTCCTAGAGTTGAATTCTGATTTCACATCCAAAAGCCATCTATATCATAACCTGAAAATGCTATAAACACAATGCGGTTTCATAAACGAAAAAAAATATATATATATATCAGTAGGTGCAAACTGATTAGAAAGATAAATGTCTGTGTTTATCTACAAAGGAGAGCTCATTCAAGCCTCATTTTACTCAATATAAACAATGAAGCTAATTTTAGCTTAGCTCATGGGAATTTCCAGATTTGACATCAATCATTCTAAAGCATATTGATACTGCTATGACTTTGTTAAAATAAGCTATTTATTCATGACCTCAATCAATTTTTAACTCCAGATTATAAAACATCATGAAGCTGGCCACCTTCCCTTATTGAAAAAAAACCCCTCCAAGATGAAAGAGAGCTCTCAGGACTTTGACCGTCTGGTTAAGCTGGCAAGATAAGAGCGACATCAGCAGTGCTAGCTAGACACAGTGAGGTGAGCTGTGTTTATAGGGTCAGACTTAACAGCTGGCAGTAAGTGAACATGCATACATCCAAAGATAAAATAGAGCTGATAACATTTCAAAGTTCTCTCTTCCTTTGGATAAGTCCCCTTTAACATTCAGCAGCTCAGCCTAATTCAGGATAAAGTAACATCAAGCGGTTTGGATAGCACACTCCCTCCAGCCTCTCACATCTTAGAGTTAGCGCCCCTTGGCAGGTTTTAAAGTGAATGTCCTTGATTTATTTAACACAGAGGATGAGTCACTGTTTGATCATGCAACTCCCACTGAGGGAGCTGTAGCCCCAGGGTTGAAAGGAAGCTGAAAGAGCTCTGGTGTTACCTGTGGGTACAGAGGAAGGACAGAGCACCAACGGGGATGTAGACAGTGAGGTCAAGACCGCTGCAGCCATCACCTCCTTATCAGCGTGGCCTGAAGGATTCCTGTAAAACAGGAAAACATTGACAACATGTGAGAAAAATATGCTTTCTTCTCATGCTTGAAGAAATATGTCTTTAATGGTATTAATTTATAACAGTTACTTATATAGCTTTGCATTAAAAAAATGAATACCTGGGGGGGAAAAAAAGAAAATCTTCTGTTGTTATGCAAAATATCAAAGAAAACGTGTATATTCTAATGAAAAGCCTCTTAGGCGAATCTGCCTTGTGCTGTGCTTTCTGCACTGCCTGTAAAGCATTACAAACTGAGCCTCCTCCTGCCCTCCTGCAAGCTAAGCTCCATGCTAAGGGGGTCCAGCCCCATATTGAACCTCTATGCTGTACACTTGAACCAAGATAAAAACACATGTGCACAGATGCTCCAAAAGAGTTCAACATGCAGATATATCAGAAAAAAAAAAGAAAAACGCTGCAGAACTGGCCCTGTACGCGTTCTGCAAACATGAGCAAACTTATCTGCCTCATACACACTATTTGTCTCCATTGCCTCTATTTGGCAATCACGGCTGCACTTCCTGTCGTCCTTGAAAGAGAACGGTGGAGAAAATTGTTTAAGGCCAGGCCAAGAAGACACCACCCACCCACACACATGCACATCTGCACACAGACACACACATATGCACTCATACATACATTCGTAACAGGATTTATTTTTCCAGGTTGTTTGGTAAAACAGAAGGCTGTCAACCTAACTCAGTCAAGCGGGTATGTTTTAGAAACGCTTTTTTTATGAAACATACACCGATAAAAACTGGAAAAACTTTCCAACTCTTATGTGCAGCGAGAGAAAGCCTGGAGCTTTAAGAGGTCCCGCCCCCAGACTTCTCTACTACACAACCAGAGAAAACTGGTTTGAGGCATTCTCTCAGCCAAGCCCTAAGCCCTGGCTGAGCTCCACAGTGAGTTTTAATGTTAGTGTGCGCACAAACACACACAATCATTTAAACTTATACAAACATGTCCAGAGCAGGTTTTCGGTGATCAAACCTGTGTCTACCTGCACAACGTAGCACTGCATGAGTTTACTTTACAAAGAATTTTACAGATGTATAAAAAAGTTTGGTAGGTGGCTGTACTCCCACGCTGATGAGAATTTTGCTGCATCGGGAGCAAACAGATCCAAGCAGAATTTACCAGACATGTAGAGAAAGAAAGCCTGCACAATCAACAATGCTCCACGCAGAAACATGATAGTTTACTTCCCTACATCTTAGAACAGAGCCTGAGTGCTCACACAAAGCAGAAAAAGCAGGACATTTATTAAACTGCAGAAAAAGACACACAAACTGCAGCTGAAACACACAGAAATGAGTAAGGTACCGTGTATATAAAACACAGACCAGCACATGAAGGCGCACACGCAGTCTGAACAAGAGATAAAGAGATAACAAGATTAGCTGTGTCCTGTTTCAGCCATTAGCCATGTTTTCAGAACCAAACAGGGCAAGCCAGGGACAAGGTTATGACTTATGGAGCTCATTTCTCTGCTGCTTGTTTCCATTTCATCATCAACACAGGCCACAAGTCATCAGCCAGAATGAGTTTAAAAAAAACAACAGCTTACACTCCTAAAAAGTGTGAGTTAAACCTTCTGAAGTTTAGTTTTAAGTTCATACTCTATCAGTGAAAAATGATAAGGAAAATAAACAAGCTAAAAGGATAACAAGCCTTTTAGTTGGAACCAGAGTTAATCCAAACTGTAGCAGTGCTCCCTCCCATACCAACACGCAGAAGACCTCATTACCACCCACCTTTCCACCCCAGCCTAATTTCCTGACATTGAGGACTTTCCTTCCTCTGCTTCCCAGAACAACCGTGGTCCTTCGCAGTCGCCTCACGTTTACCACATGTGGTGCACATTTCTCTGCATGGATGTGATCAAAACAACACATGGTCGTGTTTTAGACATATTTTCATGCAGCGTAAACTCCTGATTGACTTCTTTAATAAACAGACGAGCCAAATTACTCTTGCTTATATACTTATTTTGTTATTAGTGTTTTACAGCAGATGGCAGCTAGATCCTGCCATCATAAAAACCAGTTCTGACAAATAACTGATAAACCATCACTGCCCATGGCGCGATTCAATGAACACGCTATTCTAAATGACAGTCGCTCTCCTCATCTGTCTGCAGAATAACTAAGCATTATTTAAAGCTTGTGGGAGTGAAGAACAGGCGGTAAGAAGTAAAGCAGGAAAATGTCTAAAAGAATCTGTGTGCATCTTCTAATAGAATGGTTTATTTTAAAGCAAGCTAAACTGGGTAAAGCTTTTTATTGGCTTTCTGCACTGCTCTCAGGGAAAGCTGAGATCTCTTTCAATAAAGGCTGCATGTGTGAGGTACTCACGTATTTGGGAGGGTGTTGAGGTTATGTCTTTGGTTTGTTTTTGATTTCCCAAATTTGGTTGTTTGCAAGCACAGCCCACTTAAAGATAACGACATAAACATGAGTTACTTAAAGACCATAGAGAAATGCCATGTGGTTACTGTGTTATTTAGTTGGGTGTAGTGAAACCAGAAATGTTGGCAGCTGTTACATTTCACTCCATCAATGACATGGGTGTTTTATGAGGTATCAGGTACTTAAAGTAAGAATGCTGGAGCCCATTTGATGATGTTTGTGGGTTTATGTAAACTACGGTACCTTGTAAATTTATTCACGGCCCTTCAAGTTCTTACTAAACTGATTACAATAGTCTTTCATATGATAGACCTACATATAAAGTGCATAACTGTAATGGTGGCTAGTGTTTGCTCTTGAGCTAACAGAAGAGGATGAATGATGAATAACATCACTAGAAACGCATCCACGCCATTGATTTGCTACTGAACGTCCACTACATACAAAGAACATGTAAATTGTTTGCTACAGTCGCTTGAAACGCGTTCAGTGTGAACACAAACGGTTAAAAGGGACAAAAAAGGCAGGTTTTTTTTTCTGACTTGCAAAATAAAATAAAAAAACATTTAAATCTGTGATGTATAGATTTGTTTACCTCTTCACTATAAATAAAGCTGAATTCAAGTTAGTGTCTATTGTTTTTTTAAATAATTAACGGGTGTCCTAAGAAAGTAATTTCATCTTAGTATAAAGACAATATTTTAGTCAAGGCCTCTGTTGCTTATTAGAGGATATTAAACAGCATCCTGATGACTAGGGAACACAGTAGAAAGGTCAGAATTAAAGCTCTAAGGTATAAAACTGTATAAAATCATTCAGAGCTATAACAGCAACAACCCACCATCCTAAAATGAAAAGTACGGTAGCAAAAATGTGAAATGTTTCAAGTAGTATGAATGCATTTGCAAAGCCCCTAAAATGTGACATTTGGCCCATTTTAAGTGCATGCACAAACAGAACCATACAGTTAGTCTCTCACACCCACACACTGTCAACAGATGCACTCTTACCTTCCTTCCTCCTTCAATTTGGATTGGCTTTAGCTGAGCCAAAAACACACCTCACTGGCAGTAGCACAACACATGGGCTGGCTAAAGTCAACACGCCAGGTCCAGGCACATTAGGAGACTTCTGCTCTCTGCCAAGCCAACAAGCAAGCAGCTACAAAAACAGGCTCACAGTTCAGGAGAGGAAGGAACCACTGTGCGAGACATCTTGTATCTATGTACCGTATCCAAAGAAAATATATATGCAAATTATATAATTCCATCATAATCTTTTTGCCTTTTACAAGATACTCAAAGATTTAAAATGCTTGCCCCTGGTTTACATGCGTTTAAATTGTGGATAACCTGCATTGAACATGTGACGGTGTCTGTTTGGTCTCTAAGTGTTAAAGCTGCTGCGACCTTCGTCTACTGATCAGCCAATCGAAATGCAGCTGTTGCTGGAAATACAGCAGAGTAAGGTTCAAAAGAGAAGACAAATACAAGGCGATCTATTCCCAGGATTATTTCATGATCTACTGAAGAGAAAAATTTGCAAAAAAACAACATGCAGAACATCACATATTATCTGAGAAATCATAAAAGTAACCGCAGAAACTGCTGAGCAATAAGTAGTAGGGGTGTAAATCACACCCATCATGGTGATTCCATTCAGTATCAATTTCCTGACCCAACAATTTGATTATTTTCGATTTTGAAGAATACATCACTATATGATTCAATTTGATTCATTGGTCTTTTTTTTTTTTACCTTACAGGCTAGACAATGTTTCAAATTTGAAATAAATTAATGAAAGGTGTAATATAGCTATGCATTTTATATGAGAAAAAAACAGCAAATAACAGAAGTAGCAAAGTTGTACACTACCTATGCCTATGAAAACCTCATTCACTGAAAAATAATAATACCTCTGTGTTTACGTGAGCGTGTGTACACATGCAGAAAGAGGGTAGTGGCTAGAGGAAGCAAGGTAGGAGGGCAAAACAGGTTTAGTGCCACCGCAGCACGGGAGTCAGACCAAAAACATAAATCAATACTCGGACGGATGTTTCGATGCATCGGATTGTTGGCTGTTGGATCGATGAATCGATACAAAATTATTATTCTTTACACCCCTAATAAGTACCCAAAATGGACATTTACCACACGGGCTCAGTTGAACTATAAACATGTAAGAAAATTATTATTATTATTATTATTATATGTAGGGTTGGGAATTGAAGAGATTTTCACGATTGCGATTCCCTTATCGATTCCGTGAAACGATTCAATTCCTTATCGATTATCTTATCAATTCTGTTTACAATGAACTTGGTAAGTGCACGGTGACATTCGTCTACCTTTGCCTGCGACATTCTATGTCTGCATGCCTCGGCGAAAACAGAAGTCAGTGAACGGGAGCTTCCAGCCTCTGAGCAAGCCATGCTACCATCTCGTCACAGTCATCTAAATCTAATGGAGAAGGCATCCATTTAATAAATAAGCATTACTGTACAATTTCGGGAAATAAACTCATCCCTGATTTAAATAAACAAGCATCACCTTTCTCTCGCTCCCTGAACAACTTCG